GACAAACAAATGTATTCTACTCTGCCGTCACCACACGGCATGCCCTAACATTCAAATCTTAAGAAACGCAACCTTATTTCCACTACCACGAAATTAGTTTCTGTGCTTCAAATCTGGTGTATCTAGAATCTTGCAGAATTAACAACGGTCACATACCTCCCGCGATCCTGAAGAGTCCCTCCTCATTCAGCGCCAGCTCGTGCAATGTACAAACGCACAGCTCGATAGGAAAGGCTATGGTGCGGCCCGTGACGCGTAGGTGTTCCTCTAAGGGATACCCGAACACCGGCTTCGTCGAGCTGTCGTCTGGAAACATTGATTTTGCCGTTAGTAATGCGTGATGTGGACTAACAGGTTTACCTTTAAAAGTATCATCATAAGACATGCTATGCCCGCGACTTCGTACGCGTGTTTTTTTTTAATATTCCCCGTTTTTGCAACATTTTCTGCTCTGCTCCTATTAACTGTAGGGTGATGTTATATAGCCTAAAGCTTTTCTCGATTAATGAGCTATCCAACACAAAAATAATTTTTCAAATCGGACCCGTATTTTAGCGCGCAACTAGGCAAACTCTTCAGCTGTATAATATTAGTCTAGATACACTGATGTATGTAGCATGTCAAGCCAAGTTCATATTTGCCAAGTTACCTTATATTTAAACTACTTTATCCTATTATATTATTCGTATCTATCCATCAGCGGGGATATGTTGGTAAAGGAAACTAGTGGTGTCGCCTTGATCCTGAATTAGTTGTTTTTTCGGCTATTTCTACCACCACACATATTCGTTACGTTACATATTCGTACGTGAAATTATTTATTTTTAGTAAAAGAAATAAAATTGTTAGTCAAAGCGAAATAAAATCAACTAAAAAGAAGGACAGCAAAGAGAGACGACTGGTTTAACGCAAGCGACATTCATTATGCAGGCAAGTTGCTTTGCATTGAAATAGGACGCGCTGACATCGCGAGACGACTGCAAATTCCATATTACAAGGATTCATTGTTTTATTGGGCCTACGAGGAAAGGAACAATGATGTTTCAATTAAGGCTGGCTGAGCAGTTAGTTTCAATTATTTGGAGTTATCGTATATTTAGATCGTTGTTTAAATTAACACGCCAGCAGACTTGCTCTGAAGTGTAGCAGATTAATTAGTCATTCTAGCTACAATTAATTGCGGCAGTAACATCTACTACTTAGTAAAATGAAATGTTTACAAATGATACTGTTAGTTGGTATAATAAACTGTATATTTTTACCAAAGATGTGTTACATCTTGTGGTTAAGTATTTTCCATTATAGCTACCATGCTAACAATAGACATAATTACTTAATTATAATTGCTAATAATGATCATTTGAACAATGTATTTTTATTTGATCTACATAATATTACTTAATTATCATGTAATGGCTTGGTGTTAATCAGAGTTCAGGAAACAGTTATTGTTGTGTCCATAATTACTCATAACATAAAACATAATAAGAGACTAACTTTCGCCCGCGGTTTCAAATGCGTGGATTTCGGATTGTTGTATCGCCTTTATCAATCGTTCCGTGAATATTGATTCATTTTATGATGACTATATTTTATTCAGCTTGAATTTATTTCAAACTAAGAGCAGCAAAATACACTTCTTCATTCATTAATTCAACATTTTTTTTATTGAACAAACCATATCTGTAGTTTCTGTTCAGTATAAATAAATCTCACTTACAGAATCAGGAAAACAGTTCAAATCATACACAAACAAGTTGTGTAACATGGGTAATCTGATATTATGACAAATATCTTTATCTTTTACTATGAAAAGATGATTGGCATCCCAAGTTTATCAATGATAAATGAAATTAATCCCATGTTCATATCATTTCTTTTATTTATATCTGTTTTCATGTTATATTTTACACATTTCCAAAAAACTTTTTAAGGCCATCTGTTATAGCAGGGAATTACGGATATATGTTTTTGTAATATGGGTGTATCCTACCTACATTTGGAGAATGACTAAAGCACCGAAATGCGCAAATACAAATAACAATAAATAATTTCGATAAGGATAAAATTCGATGGTAGTTACGCACTGATAAATCGCTCCAATTCCGGCACTGTGTCCTGTAGGGAATGCAGCGCCGATTCATGGTATGCTCTCTGCAGTTTGACGTACTGCAGCAACGTATGTGCCAGCTGGGCCTCTTTGGCGACTAGTGCAAACATATCTGCTGCCAAAGCGTCGCGCGCCGCCTCCACACGTGTTCCTGCCTCTTCCAATTCCTCCCTGGCGGCACTTAGCTTCGTGGGATTCTCCTCTTTCTGACGCTCTAGATGCTATGTAAAAACAAGACAATTTTGCAATGTACCTTGTGTGGACATTTTTATGAAAATGCTTGGGAGATAGATGTATATTCATTTAATATTTGGATGCAGAAGAAAAACATAATATATTTTTAATTTCAATTATGTTATCATGTTTGAATTTATTAGTGTCCTCTGCACTGTTCATGGATTACTTTAATTGTTATCAGAATGGAATGTATCCTGTTTTATTAATATAAGTTTAGATTGGTTTCATTATTGTAAATCACTGTCGAATCATGATATGGTGCCCAGGAACGCTGGGTGCATTTCCATGCAAATGGCCAAACTCAAACCAACAATGGAAAGTAATTTTGTTATTTTAAAGAACCTACTTGTATTAGTTAAAAAAATCATTTGTGAAAATATGTAAGCCAAAATAATAAATGGCTGTTTTATTTACTGGAGTTCAATTCATACAAATTGAATCTATAGAGATTACAGGAATTTAGAAACAGGCCCATCAATTGCTAAAATGTGGTACTTACATGATATCTGCTGGCTGCTGACTCCTTTTCACTGATCAGCCTACTCAGCTGCTTCTTTGCTTTCATGATGGCCGGCAGGTCCTGGTCACTTATAGCCGTGAGTGGAGCGCACACAAGTTGTTCAACTTTCAATTCATGCTCTGCTATCTCATTCGCCAGAAACTTCTCTGTTTTACCTATAACAACAAAAACATTATAATTTATTACCTTTACACAAATAAAAATCAAACAAATTCCAAGATACTTAACTATCAAAGTAATAAAAATCAAATATGATTATTTTCCAATTGAATTTGAGATAATTCTTATTAGAATTGTCTCAAATCAATAACAATATTACACATAACTAGCACCAGGCAATTACAATGTAGTCTACATAGCAGTGAAAACTATTAATAGTTGTGGAACAATCAATTAGATATGGTTTAAAAGTTTGAGTTCAATCAATCTTGTACTAGATTTGTTGTGCAATGGGCAGTTACCACCTAATCTTACTTACAATTTTACTGCAGCTAACATCTAATAAATTATTAATCATGTTAATAGTTTATGATCATACGGATCATCCAAGTTGAGTACCTACTATTTATTATAAGTACATGAAAGGGAGATTGCTTACCGCACTCATACAAAATGTACTTCAAGATGCTGTCATCATCATCAAAGTTACTGGCTTCACACATAGATAGACCTAGCAAGTATTCTGGAAGCTTCTTGAGCCTTTTCTCCCTTGCAGCTGGGTCCTGGCCATATGTACTGCCTGCAGCTGTTGCAAGCCGCTTGCTGATCAATTGGAGGGCATTACGGAGGTGTTCAACTTTCTTATCAGCAGTCTGGAGTTCATCAGTTAACGCCTCACCTTTCCCAGACCTGAAACAAACAATATGAAATGTATTTATGATAACCTCAGTTGCCTAGAAGTAATGCCAAGTTCCTTTTATACTGAAGTGTTGAATAGGAACTTTGGATTTACTTGGCACTGTTAGTTTCGTTGATAGAGATTGTTTAGTATTTATACTCATGCAAATACAGGCTGTTATGAAACAGTAATTAATAATTAAAAGATTAATTTGTGGAATTAATTTTCATAGCATACTTAATAATACTATATTCTGAAATTTTATCATTTACCATAAATGTACATGATAGAAAATATAAATTCACAAAGGAAACAGAAATCTTATCAGTTAGAGGTAGATAATAAATTGTTCTCATGATACCTTGAAAAGGTTTGATCGGCCAGTTGCTTCACTTTATAGAATTGTTTCTTCATTTTGCCTAATTACTTTCGATGATTTTAGAACTACAAGGTCATTGGACTTGGTCAATAGCAAATTAATAAAACGATCAAGATCTCTAAAAAAGTACGTAATGTCAGCAAGTCAATGAGATCATCCTCTGTATGAAACTATGAAATTATTATAGTAGCCGAAACACTTCACAAGACATTTAATAAGGCACTACATTTCCATTATTCAATAAACGAGCACATAACACACATTTAGCTACTTATTTGGATTTAAAACATCGGCGATAAAACATATTCCGATGAATCAGGAAAATAAAATAACCATTGAGTAAACTGTTTTCTTTTTTTTATGACTTGACCACAGAGTGGGTGTTACCATGAACACACCCATAGAGTAAGGCCGAGAAGTAATTTTATTCAAAGATGGTGGAGTAATGGAGAAGTATTATGATCAGTTATTATGGTCAGGTGGCGTTATCCAAAATATCGAATATCCCAATAATAAAGCACGTCACACTGATACCCGAGGCTGGGTGGACGCATCGAACATAGAAAAGTTTCAGGAGATGAGATATTTTAGTTATTAATGTCCATAGTAAAGTTTGATGAGTTTTGAAAAACCAACCAATCTAAGTAATTTTTTATCCGATGTTTTTAGAGTAAATTTGTTCAATCTCGTCTGTTCTTCGTCTTCTTCTTTTATTTTGGCAACGACGAAATCTAGTCTCCTCCTGTTCAGAGTGAAACTGTGAAGTATTAATTTTGGAACACGCTGTATAAAGCTTTCTTTTTGTAGTAATCAATCGCTTTACATCTTTACATTATCTTTGGTTGACAATTTATTTGACTTTGACAAATGTCAGCTGCTTGTCAAAAATGTGACGTTAAATCTGACGTCAAACTGCGTCAAACTCGTATTTTGGAGTGGTGGGTCTTGAAGACTTTTGTTTATATTAGTTGTTCATTGCGTTGCATTGCATCGTTGTTGTTATACTTGAATTGTATCTATAATAACGAGAGGAGGGAGTTGAGAGAATGGAATTTATTGTAGAAATCTTGAAGCAAGGCACGATACATTTCAGTTGACTCGGAGTTGCTGGTCAGAAGTGTCGCGTACAAATTTTAATTAGTTTAGGACAACTACTCTTTATTTTTCGTATTCAAATCATACTCGTGGTAATTTTCTCAATATTTAATTGATTTTCTCTCTCCAACTTGATACAAATAGAAGCCAACATGGAGCGAAAGTTTATAAATGTTATTTTACTTGGATTCGGATTTATGTTTGTGTTTACTGCATTTCAAACTATGGGAAACATAGAGGTGAGTGGATTTATCGATTAAAAATATCATAATAATAATTTTAATACTTTACTATAACTACACATACAATACTTACACAGTACAGCATGCCTTGGTTTTACAATTTGTAAAATCTATTTTTTGTGATTGATTATGCTATGTGAAGAATAAATGTTTGATTTGAGCACTTAACAATAATATTATTTAAATTGTAAGGCTATGCATAAGCGTTATTACATTATTATAATTAACATTCTTTAGCTATTTTTTTCATGCTAAATAAACATTTATTTATATTTTCTTTTTGCTTCATACTAAAAGACTTAAATTTCTTTAGAAAAACTATTGATTTATTATGGAAAAAGAACTAATTCAAGCATGTTTGAAAATTTTAATGTATTCTATCTGGGAACTCTAATAGCTTGATTGATTTTAGTTTGCAAGCAGTTGTTACACTCTTCAGGTTTTGAGTATCTTTTAGAAACTTAAATAATAATGTTTATTTTTAAATATAATAAAATGTAGTGAAATTAAAATCTTACCTGCTATTTTCTAGTTGGAATCTCATTAGATCAATGGTGCTAACCATAAAGTTAAAATCTTGACAATTTCATTAGGTATGTCTAATAGTACCTATTACCTACTTACTAATTATTTGATCTTTTTTTTTACTTGCATGCAGTTTGTGGGATTTTTGTTTTAAAAAATTTAGAAGTTGATTCACTGTATTTTGTAGGATGAAAGTAAAAGTAGGCTTCATCTTTCCAGTTTGGTCTATCTGACTAATGCAGATGCATTAACTATAACTTATATATTTTATTAACCCGTAATTAAGCTATTTAATTGACAAGGCATTAAAGCACCTATTATGTAATTTTTGTTATTATTTATAATCTAAGTTTTAAACAAAATTGCGACACGCCTTTTAGAAGTATACCTTCTTGTTTAAAAATCAAAAATATAGTTTTGTTACTTTTTTATCTTAATCAAAATAATCTACCATTCTGCCGCTCTTTTTACCGGACCGCATTCTGACTCTTCTTCGCGCCGGCATATACGGAATACCGCTTACCGAACCCTCACCTAAGTCTGAACGGAAGACCCAAAGTCCGAAAAAATCTAGACGGATGGTGACCCTACTCTTAGCACTTCCTACTTCATTTCTCTTCCGTGCATAGAAAGCGCCACCCCATGCGAGCCTTGTGCCATTATGTCTTATGTTTATGTCGCATAACTTGCGACACTTGCAACACGTTTCGAAGTGAGCGAAAATGTCATGTTTTTCGCCAGCAATTTGCTATGCTGTTGCAATCGCAGGCAAACAATGCCGTCATTACTCCTGACCGCGACGCGACATCATCTTAGATGTGATTAATGTCAATAGCAATAAGGATATCGATTAAACTGACAATCTCGCTAGGAAATTTTTCAGATCTTTTCTCAAATAATATTAGGCCTTTAATAGTCTACACTGTAAAGTTTGGATTTCTGTAGACTCTACAGAAATCCAAACTTTAACGGTTACTATCGGCGCGCGACCTATTCATTAGATTTTTTCCGCATTATTATTAATTAAATAATATAAATAATATGATTTCTGTTTTGGAAAGGAACATTTCAACAAAATAGTAACTAGCTAGACTGAACCACATTCCTCAATGCGGCATAAACGGATACGAGAACGACAACAAGAGCACGAATCTTTGCATACTTTATCAACATGACCTTGCAACACTTCAATAGTGTTGCCCTATAAATGTCAAGTTGATAGATTTGTAGAGTTATGAAAGCTATGTTATGTTATGAAGTTGCGATATTCTTTAATGACCTTTCTAATCTGTTGTGAGGCCGTTCCGTGAATAGTCATACAGGAAGCTTGTTGGCTCGTAAGAACGTGCCATTCTGCATACAGATGGCTGTTAAAGTTAATAGATGAGGGAGGGTCTTGTTTGAGGAACTCGACTCTTGATGTAGTTGCTCGACATTCGTTAATGACACCGGTTTTGTCTGCACTCTGCAGAGATCATTGCAAACGGGAAATGACCGCTACTGGAGGCGTGGACTTTAGTAGCAAAGCGTCGTAAAATTAAGGATAAAAAAATTTTTAACGAAAACTCGTCCTGAGTCAATGTTCGGACTTCGAATAGCCTTCTGCCGTATGTATGTGGTTCAAGTAAAGTTAATATGCCATTTCATTATTTAAACGAACTTAAAAATATTCCGTTCATTTTAAGGAATGCTGTGACTGAGACAATAATAAAACCATTACGATTTTATACGACTAACTTTTTTGGTTACCTTATAGACTTAAAATAAAGAGGCACATAAATAAAGGATTTTAATAAGTACACATTTTGGCGGTGCAGCAAAAATGTTTGTGAAAGCTTGCACAGGATATTTTAAGGAGTTGCCCGAGAAGCTACTTTCTCCCTTACTTTACACTGTTCTGGTTTTTGCTTTGGTTACGCAATTAACTAGATAAACAAAGAACAGATAGGACATTAAGTTAAAATTAATACGATTATTCCAATCTTAATTTGTAGTTGCTAAAATAACTAATTGTAGTCTTTTAGTAGGGTGTCTGTCAATAAGTCAGTTCCGTAGGACACTGAGACTTGTGGGAGGACTGTCAGAGACATTTAATTATTATTGATTCTTTGATTTACCTTTAATGATTAAACCTACTTAATAAAACTCACTATAAAAGAAAATTGCATCATTACCCATCTGTAGCCAAACGTATCCTTATTTATTATTATTGCTACATTATTTACAATTGATTGTGACACGATTTATGTCCGAGTGCAGATCTTGACAGCGACATTACCCAGTTTATTGACACATAAATAAGCGAGTTCGTACCTACATTACATAACACAAATTGAGATCATCGACCGAGATTCGCAATATTGTATAACCTAACGGCGTTTTTTGTCTGCCTTCACTGACTTTTATTAGAAGATGCTATGTAAGATGACCGCTTGGATAAAAAAAAGGTTTAACTAAATCACTAGTTATATGTAAGGGTTACTGAAAATTGAAACTTGGGCCTACGCTGAAAATTTTTTGGGATCGATTTTTAACCTAGGAAGAGCTTGGGCAAAATGCACTAACTTGATGAGCGCGTAGAGTTTTGGATGAGACTCTAGGTATACATCACAATTTCATTTTCTAATTACCGTAAAAGAGATATTTACCAAGCCCAATCTTTCGTTTATCAAAAAATACTGGGCGATAACTTTCCAAAAATAACTCATCTAAATAGTAATTAGTAGTGAGAACTATCATTAATCAAATATTCATCTCATTTTCAAAGGGTTGCCTGATTAAAATGACCAAAGTATAAACTAAAGAAAGTAAAAATTAAATTGAGGTTCTAGAATAAATTGTAGGTCAATGGATCAAACATCGAAAGAGTGATCGGGATCGATCGACTTGTCCGAAGTTTGTGCAACGTAATAATACCTAACTCTGCACGGTTGCTGCACTTTTCTGTTTGATACTTGATATTACAGCATATCCCAATAATTACTTTGCAGTTAACTATGTACTAAGTGGCTTACCTACCAGTTAGTTGTTTCGTAATATTTCGTAGCACGCTATTTGTAAACGTGTAACTTAACAGCGGTTTTCCTTTAAATTCACATTATCTCACATCTGGGGTGGGTCATTATTGTATGCGTAATAGATGCTTCGTACCCCTCTTAATCTCAACGTTTCTAGAACTTACTTTTCCAAAATTTTGAAAAAAATACCACCTCAATTCACAGATTTTAGTCACTTCTGCAGACTTCTAACTACATTTGCGTATCCTGTCATCCCATAGCCAGATCTCTGGTCAATATCGCTATAAAAATTAATGGAATATCCAAAATATTCAATCGTTTTGAAGATTAACAGATTTAACATTTAACTTTATTTGTTATCATGCATGCATTATCATCATGTTTATTAATTTATCTATCTTGTTTTATTTGGACATCTTCATGATTGTTTAATGCAATAGATGGCATTGCTTGAGTAGATATTCGATAATTTCAAGGATTTGTTTTTGTTTTATTTAGGTCAATTAGATTGAATGATATGTTTTCAAGGGTTTACGACATCGGTTGTCGATGTGACGTCATGTTCTACTAGTAGATAACTTGGGAATGAAGATGTCTGATGAATAAATGACATTTTGTTAGTAAAACAGAATGAATATTACGTACTATTAAATTAAGTTTAGTTATCTTTTCTATTATGATATACCCGTGTATGTTTTATTACATTTTGCAAATTTCCTAGTGGCCGTAAAAGTGAGGAAATGCAGACATTTCAATGATAAAGTTAGCTAATTACGTGTTTAGTTATTGCGCGAATCATTGTTTACTTTTTCAAGCAGGTCCAGGCCATACGAATATTTATAACGTAACTACATAAAGATAAATATGGCTTATGTTGTATAAGGTTTTCAATATTTCGCAACTATTTCTTGTCACATAAGAACCCTGACTCTATGGCATTTATTTGGTCATTGGGAACAGTCCGCAGACGCTCTAAAAGTCTAAATGCATTATTAGCCTTTGTCAATATTTTATTGATATTTGTCCAAATATGGCAATACTGGGTGGACGTTTTCGCCTTTTGTGCCAGTGGTTTCGAAATCAAAGGATTGGTATTACAACAGCATTATTTTATCGTTAATGTCATTGCCATAAGCTTATCTTGTATTTTTACTAGAGATGAAACGGATAGTTGTTTGGCCGGATACCGGATACCGGATATCCGGCCAGCTGCTAGGCCGGATAGCCGGATATCCGGCGGCCGGATAGTTGGCCCATTGTCTCGTTTCATGTCGTGACGAGTTTAGCGCCGCACAGGTGCTTCGAAGGCGATCAGTGGGTCTATTAGTAGACTAGACTAGTCACACTTTTCGAAAATCGAATCTGTCCGAATAGAATGTCAGATTATGCCACTTGTCTAAGGGGCAGATCAATTCGAGCGATTTCGGTTGCTATCGTGAGTGTGTGATTGAATAGCGAAAATTAGTTTACTTGCTGCGTAATCTGACTGAACTGCATGCATCATCATCAAACCATCAGTGAAAAAAAAATCGCCTTTTTTATTTGGCAATATTTAGACATTAACAGATATTATTTACTGCAGGGTGGCCCAGAAAAAAATTCACTTTTGAAAATTCAATGAAACGAAAACTGTACATTTTTGTAGAACTTTACCTATTGCAATTTAAAGGAAATTTAGTGCAATTTATTTTAAAATTTACTTACTTTTTCAGTGGGCAAGATCAGTGGTGCCAGGGAGTCCCGCAGCGTTATAGTGCGGGTACCTGCTAAGGTAGCAAAAGAGCTGGCGAAGTGTCGCCGGCTATTAATCGGATGGGCCTCGGTACAGGTAACGCTGTTGAAACCGAGGCCGTCAAGGTGTGTCGCCTGTTGGGGCACTGGCCACACGGCCTTTAAGTGCGCCGCTGGCATTGACCGCAGTGGACTCTGTTTCCGCTGCGGTGAAGAGGGCCATAAGGCCAAGGTGTGCCCGGCCCAGGTTCCCCGCTGCTTGTTGTGTGCAGCAGCTGGTAAGGCCGTGGAGCACATGCTGGGGGCAAATACTTTTATAATCCAACAAACATGCAGCAACTGAAGCTGAGCATTCGGCAAAAAATTGAAAATAGGTTTCGAGGTAATTCTAACGAACGCATTTCAAGATTTTGATGTATGTTGATCGAATGTTGTAAGCGTCAAAGAAATCTCCTGGGCGATGTAATTTAATAAAGGTAAATTTAAAAATAAATTACATTTTTCCTTCAAATTGCAATGGTTAAAGTTTCCTTCAATTTTCAAAAGTGAATTTTCTTCTGGGCCACCCTGTATTTATGTATTCGTCATTAGAGTGAATAGCCCAAAAAAGAAATTAGTTTTTTGAAAGGCTTTTTGAAGAATGGCTTTTTTGTAACTTTTTGGACTTTAAATAAAAGCCGTCATTATTATAAGCCATTTTATTGATATTTACCTCAAAGATTAATGTATTTCATTTTATTAAAAGGAAATTGTCGTAGTTTTTTAATATCCGGTATCCGGCCGGATAGTGAGTTACTATCCGGTATCCGGCCGGAGAGTAAATTTAGGCCGGATATCCGGCCTACCGGATAGTTGCCGGATATCCGTTTCATCTCTAATTTTTACAGTAACGAATGGACTCTACTTAAACTTTTTGGGTTCAGTGTTTATTTTGAAGCTCCTTTTATTTGAACCTTATATTATGGGTATTTTTAAACTTATGAAAGTACCGTTAATTACATACTTAGGTACTTTTTTTTTCAAAATTTCCATACCTACTGAACTGATTAAGTAGTTACCATCACTGGTTTAAAATAATTTATATTGACGATATTATGTCATGTCGCACAACGGAAGCATCATTTTCTGATAATACATAATAGGACATTGCCTTCCTGACTATGTTTTTCAACATATTGTGTATTGAATTACGTAGTTACCAGCCAGTTAATTACATAAAATATAATTAAATTTGCACGTGTGGAAATCTTCTATTATTTCTAAACAGTACCTGATTTTCAATAATAATTATTGTCCATTGTGTAAATCGTGCCTTAATGTAACATCATCTGCAATTGTTTTATTAATAAAACATACCCCAGGAAAGCGTTACTCTGACTGAGTCGAGCCACATACAATTTATAGAAAAAAAAAAGCTTGTATAAAACCTATAAACAGTTTTTGAACGAAATCAGCAATTATTATTTTCCATTGTCTGGTTAATACAAACTCAATTTATTACAATATTTAAGAACATGAAGCGGTGGCAGTCAAGTGGGAATAAGATTCTCGAGCATTTGCTGTATTTTCTACTCTAATAATTTTATTACATTTGTAAATTGTTATGTGTATTGAACTCTCGTTTAGGCGGCGGATTTCACTGTCTTGTGCCGATTTCGTTAAACATCCTACACTTGTTTACGTTGCATAAGCTGAAATGCAACAAGCCGTGTAATCGCTGTATTGGTCGCATCAAGGACTATAAAGTAAGATTTACGAACTGGACTAAACATAAAGTTTTGAAGATATTGCTGGGTTTTGGGCACTTCATTGCGTCACGGATTGGAGCCATTGGAATCTGTGGCTTACCTAATCTGTTTATGACCCTTTTTGCACACTTTCTTTTTTATATTTTAATAATTTTCTACTTTCTTTTTTTTTACGCAGAGATGCTTTGTTTCCTTCAACATCGGCTAACTCAAAAGCTTTTACCATTATATTATAATTCGATAAGCTTAATTAATTTTCATTTGTTTGTTCTTGACTTTAAAGTTAAAGTTCTTGATGTTTTCCACTATAGTATTTATTGAGCCTATATTTAAATGAACAAAAAAGGCTGGCTGGCTTTTTAAAGAAGGTAGGTTGGTACTTCATTAGTTTCCAAAGTTGAATACCGGTCAACCGTTACAAAACAGGAATATTGGTCACCGTAGTACAGTGCAGTGACCACAGTTCTACAATAATTATTTTCGACCCACTTTCTTACTGCGCGATATTTTGCTCTTGAGATAATGCGTCTGTGTCATCGCTCCTTGAACTAATGCTCTTTGAATTATATCTGAAGGTTGAAACGTAAAAAATATCGTTTTGTATTAGTATTATACGTTATACTAATTAAAAATGGAATGTTTTAACATCGACCTTTGTTTAAAATTAATGAGCATCTGTATTATAATCTGTACGCTAGCTTCTGCTAACGGCTTCGTCTATCATGAATTTGGTTGCATCACAAAAAGTCCCTACCTCGCTTTATGCGGTTATAAGATCTAACTAAAGTCCCTTCTCATTCACATTTCATTTTATTTATTACCAAAAGCATACTCCTCCTATGTTCTTCTGATTAATTTCGTTGCGGGTCCAATGACAGTTTAACTTTCCCCCGGGACAAACTTGACCTTCATTGGTTGGGTTTTTGTGGCGGTTAAGCTGTAGATCCTGGCTACACAGGAGTTGCAGTGGTGGGAACGAGAGGTGGGAATAGTCCCGTACCAAAAGCATAAATAATAATTTTTATATCCCTAACTTTATAAGAGCCATAATTTCTTATTTTTTACCTTCACAAGTTTTCATCCTCTGTTTCAGTTAAGTCATAGTTCAGCGCTTAGATGTGAAACCGTAACTATAGGATGACATGCCCATCCATAGTACAGTCAGCGTCAAATAGTTCATGTCACCCAAAGTAGACAAAAAGTTGACAACACTGTTGCAAACTTTCTTGCTACTTTGGGTGTTACGAACTATTTGACGCCGGCTGTACTTAGGTACCAAATTTTTTATTTACGCACCAAATGTACAGTATCAAAAAATATATTTTACAATCATCTAAACCTCGTTGACATACCTGATGTAATATCCTTGACGTTGTTAAGGTCAGCAGTGAGGAAAATCAATTTCCTGAACGTTTCCCGGTTTTGTTTACAGAAAACCATACTCGACAGCATAACGCAAGATGACCCTGGCTTCAGCGGCGATGGGTACACATCCCTGGCCATCATCTACGCGACCCTGGCCATCTGCAACTGGATGGCGCCCTCCATTATCACAATCACTGGACCCAGGGGCGCCATGCTTATTGGCGCCTTCACTTATCTGTGAGTACTTACTTAGAATCCTGAAGCATAACATTAGATGTCTCTGGATTCAGCGGCGATGGGTACACATCTCTGGCCATTATATACGCGACCCTGGCCATTTTTAACTGGCCATCACTGGACCTAGGGACGCCATGCTTATTGGCGCCTTTACTTATCTGTGAGTACTTACTAAGAATCCTGAAGCATAACATTAGATGTCTCTGGATTCAGCGGCGATGGGTACACATCCCTGGCCATCATCTACGCGACCCTGGCCATTTTTAACTGGCCATCACTGGACCCAGGGGCGCCATGCTTATTGGCGCCTTCACTTATCTGTGAGTACTTACTAAGAATCCTGAAGCATAACATTAGATGTCCCTGGATTCAGCGGCGATGGGTACACATCTCTGGCCATCATATACGCGACCCTGGCCATTTTTAACTGGCCATTACAGGGCCCAGCCAATAATCATGGCTTGTTGGCACCTTGACTTATCCTAAAGTTCCTTGTTCTTAGTATCCCATTTAAGACTTTGGCAACTCTAAAGTTATGACGCCAAATTTACTATATGCATTATGAGTAGGTAATTATGTAGTGTCTTGATTGCTTTTATTTAAATTTTATCTTGAACTCGGAGAGTAAACCAGGTTCATTGAGCTGAACCGAGTCCAGTCTATTTTTCATAAGATTTTCATCATAATGAATTATGTTATCGCGGACTATACGTAACGTACATCACCATCATCTCAGCCATAGGACGTCCACTGCTGAACATATGCCTCCCAATGCTTTTCATGTTGCCCGGTTGGTAGCGGCCAGCGTCCAGCGCCTTCCTGCTACTTTTACGGTGTCGTCGGTCCACGTACGCAAGTAAATAATAAGAAAGCGCAACCACCTTTTAATTTTAAAGTTGTCATAAACACAACCAACTTGACAAACTTACGATCATTTTACAAGCAATATTTTCATTTTCTTTTTTACTTCGCGAGTTTAAAACTTCCAACTAAGTTTCACTCCTTTTTTAATTTTGCAAAGTACCAAGGAATGCAAATGTTAATAATAAAACATGGATCGTAATAAATTTGGAATACATGTATTGGAATTTGTGTACAGACAAAGAAAAGCTTTTGTAAAGACTTTAAAAGCATGGCACGTACTGTGTAAGGCATTGACTCTAATTTCTAATGCAACAAGTAAAGAGTTGTACTTTTCGGTCGACACTCGCTAAAAGGAGGTGTGTCCAGTGGCTGAAGTTGGCGCGAAGGTGTGTCAACATTGACCTAGATTTTAACAAAAAATAATTATTACGCATATTGGCAGGCACAGAAAAGTTGTGGTAGCTTACATAAGTATGTAATTATTTGTGCTATGGACCTATGAATTTATTTGCTTTTTTCAAAGGGAAAGGGACTGAATGATAGAGAATAGAGACGTGTGACTTTTGAGTTAATGCAAATTTCCTCTGTAGTGATTAGACTTTTGACGTGTTAACTTCGAAGTCTGGAGTTCTAGACTCTGGAGACAAATAACTGTACTTTTTACTACAAGTATTACGTAATTACTATTAGTATTTATTAAATCCATATGGACCTAGTTATCAGACTTGGTAATGTAATCGATCTAAAACTAGTTGTTAGTAACTCGAAACTCGGGCATTATTGTTTGTGCAAGAGCGGTTTATCTATTTTAATCTTTAGGCCGAATAACAACGGACTGTATTAATTACGTAAAGGCTGTTGTTTAGTAGTTTAGTAGGTGATTGTTTCAAGGAAAATGTCAACAACAACAGGTTTATTTCGGGGCTAAAATGTTAGATAAATTATTTTTTACTTAAAAATATTTAAATACATTTTTTGCTGATGAAAACCAAGTAGAATTAGAAAAAAGTGAAAAAAGTGTAGTCAAACAGAACTAATAATATTTGTTATTTATTTGAATTGTTCAATACAAATCAATCTTGTTGTTTACCGCATTCTGAAATATTTATCATTTTTGCAGAGGAACATTTTGCAATTATTTTCTTAAATCAAGTAAACTATAAGGAAGTTTATCCACATGGTAAAGAAAACACACTCTTAAAGCAAGAAGACACTTTCTCCATCTAGGCTGGTCGTAACGTCGTCCATTATCACATTCATGTGAATATTGCGCTACAATGGACGTTATGCTCGGTTAGGGTTGCCATCTCTAAAATTTGGCAACCAGGCTAAAACGCGTGAAAAACTCGGATTTTGGAGCCCAGAACCACATGTGCCAGAAAAGAACCCATATTTGTCGACAGGATTTTTTTAAACTTAGTCGCGTCGCCCGCCATTGGCCTAAGAATTTTTTTAAGCCCGGACTACAAATGAAAACCCTCCCGGAATGCACCTTGGACGCCCTCTAAACTAGGACAAATCAGGGGAAACCCGGACGAATGGCAACCCTATGCTACGACTTCATAGACCTCGCCTCATTCTTTTCACTGCATATTAAATGCTGTGGATGGATATGGATGATGGATATGTAAAGCAGTAATCCACTGAAATCTTTGAAGCGTGGCAATTTCGACGATCAAATCGTCTGTATAATTAATTAATGCTAAACTGCGTTTCGTTATAACACGACTGTAATGCACTGAATTTATTATCACGTTTGTCCTAACGACATGGGCGTTTAACACAAATTCTACCAAAATGCCGTCCCAATTATCCAATTAACTAAGCGGGACACAATGTAGAGTGTCCCTGATTGAATTTGTAATTTTGCATCTACTGCTTTTAAATTTTAAAACGGTGCACTTTACTGATCACCTATCATTAACATCATTATTTTAAAAACAATTTTAAAATACTTAGTTTTAGGTTAATGTTTTGACGTTAATTGATCTCTCAGTGTTGGAAAATTTATGTTGATTGCGTTGCAATAACAACTAAGTTAAGTATGCTAGATATTTCCAAAGCAAAATCGTTTGAACAGTTTATGTGAAAAAGTATGCAAGCTACCAATATTCCCGTAGTGAAGTACAAACTTAATAGTTGGATGCGGGGACCGTTATCGCAGTCGGTGCCTGCATACAAAGCAGGGATCTAACCTTAACGTGTATCGACTGCCTGTTCTATGCCTTTCAAATCGCAAAATTCAGTACATACATATTTTATTATTTATGTCTTGCGCTAACCAGGCCAATAAATAACTAATGAAATTGTTTTATTTATAAATTACGCTTTCTTGTTCCCGCTTTCGATTAATATTACATCATGTAACGGATTTCCAATTTATTATATTGATTATTTTATGAGCATTTTTCCGATCGTTTTCGGAAATAGTAAGTTTTTTTTTGTGATCCAATCATATCCTGAAATTCTGATTGCAACTAAGTCAGACTTACGATTCGGTTTTCTGAATGTGAACATTGTACAAATGTGTATTTAATGCATAAACATGCATAGGTATTTAGAAAATTGGCATTCATTAACGATGACTCCAAATAAAAATATTTAAACTAGTTCTGAGTTTACTCCAATTGCTTTTTATTTTTGAAGTTCCGTTCCTCAATAGGAAATAATGAAATCCTTGAGATCATTTCGATGTCTGTGTTTATGAGAGAGAATAAGCATACGGAACCCTCAGTGCACAAGTTCAATTCACAATTGATCGGTTTTTTTCATGATCTTGTTAACTTTAATGAAGCGTAGTATTATTGTCAAATAGATTTGCTTAAGGCGATTACATGGCCGAACGACCTTGAGCATTAGAGCGAGACAACGCGCCTCACGCCGCGCGCCCGCGCTTCTGCCCGATACCAAAGTGCGCTCAGAATACAGATGCGAAGCGCTGCCAATTCTAACATAACTGCCTACGGGAATGTTAACTCGATTTTAATTTACGCAGATCGAAAAAAATTGCGATGAATGATTATATTTCAATTAGACATCATTATACTTTAATTAGTACCATAACTATGAAAAATAAACAGTTATTTCCTACTGTAAAGTTTGCAAAAAGGGACATACCTGAGCAGTTTGAAAGTTAGGCTGACGATATTCGTGTGTATAAGTGAGCTTCTAAACAGTTTTTAAGTGTGTGTACGAGTACCTACCTAAATGTAAATGTCTGTCTGCGCAGGTATTCAAAATATTGGTCAAATATCAGTCAACATTGAATAAAATATTTTTGATCATCGAATACAATTTAAGACTTTACTTTCTCCGTTATTATTTTTTGGTAAAATCGAGAGAAAAATAAGATTTTAGATTTTTGCGTTCCATTTCAACTAAAATAAATAAACACGGATTGAGAGACATTTAGCAATCGCAGCGTGCACGATAGCTGGGTCAACCTGGGCGTTAAGGTAACACTAATGTTTCATGGGACGCACTAATGTCCCGTAATTACCTCTTATAGGCGCCGAGAGCAGCAATCGCAGCGTGCATGATAGCTGGGTCAACTTGGGCGTCAAGGTAACACTGATATTTCACAGGACGCTGTACTTCTGATGTCCCGTAGCGACCCCGTAAGAGCCGAGCGTATTAATCGCAGCGTGTATCAATTTGGGCATCAAGGTAACACTGATGTTCCACGGGACGCACTAATGTTCCGCGTTATTCCTGCTGTCCCGGAGCCACCCCGTAGGCGCTGAGAGCAGCAATCGCAGCGTGCACGATAGCTGGGTCAATCTGGGCGTCAAGGTAACTAATATTTCACGGGACGCTTTGTTAATATTGTATGTCCCGTAATGACCCCGTAGACGTTGGAAGCAGTAATTGCAGCTTGCACGATAGCTGGGTCAACCTGGGCGTCAAGGTAACACTAATGTTTCATGGGACGCACTAATGTCCCGTAATGACCCCGTAGACGTTGGAAGCAGTAATCGCAGCGTGCACGATAGCTGGGTCAACCTGGGCGTTAAGGTAACACTAATGTTCCGCGCTGTTTCCACTGTCCCGTAGCGACCCCGTATACATCGAGCGTAGTAATCGCAGCGTGTATCAACTTGGGCATCAAGGTAACACTGATGTTACACGGCATGCACGAATGTCCCGCGCTGTTCCTCCTACTGTCCCGTAGCTACCCCGTAGGCGCCGAGAACAGCAATCGCAGCGTGCATGATAGCTGGGTCAACCTGGGCGTCAATGTAACACTAATGTTTCATGGGACGCACTAATGTCCCGTAATGACCCCGTAGACGTTGGAAGCAGTAATCGCAGCATGCACGATAGCTGGGTCAACCTGGGCGTTAAGGTAACGTTAATGTTCCACAGGACGCACTAATATCCCGCGCTGTTCTTCCTACTGCCCCGTAGCGACCCCGTATACATCGAGCGTAGCAATCGCAGCGTGCATGATAGCTGGGTCAACCTGGGCGTTAAGGTAACACTAATGTTCCATGGGACGCACTAATGTCCCGTAATGACCCCGTAGACGTTGGAAGCAGTAATCGCAGCGTGCACGATAGCTGGGTCAACCTGGGCGTTAAGGTAACACTAATGTTCCGCGCTGTTTCCTTGTCCTCTCCCCCCNTGAACAAGCACTTAAGGATAAGCTCCTATACATGTCTCATTCTTTTTTTGCCCTACCAACCTACCTACCTACTTGGTTCGTATTACAAACGACGAACTCAATGGAATCTCAAACGTAGAGGGCTAGTTTGATTGAAATTCAATATTTATACTAATCAAAGGACAAAATCTATGATTGATATTAAAAATAGTTTTTAGCGTTGTTACATAATACCTCAGTACTAGGAAGTCGTCGTTCGTCTATTGAGCAGGCAAAATAATTTATAATTTTTGATATTACCTAGTGATTTTCTAAGTCTGGCAGAAGAAAATGGAAGGTTTGAGATACCATTGGAAGTTATACTTAGTTGTTAAGAAGTGGGTTATACCATTCACTGTCCAGTGCAGTGTCCACCAAACAACACTTAGGCTGGTTTTAGTGTCACGCGGACTGTCAGTGCGGATCGCTCCGCACAGCCGCACCGGACGGTCCGCCGCGTGAGTGCATTACCGCAGCAAAATTTTTATAAATGTTGTGCTTTAGAGAGTCGAGAGTATAGCAGATAATTAGTCCATCGTGAGCAGAACTTTGTCCACTAATAGTAAAATTCGTTCAAATTATAGTTTTAAAGTTATTAGGAAAAAACTGATTTTGCTGGGGTAATGTTTGCAACGTTACGCAAAATTTTTTTTTGAAAGTCGTTCTATCCCGGAACCAAATACATGGATAGATAGCTTTTGTTGCGTAGTAATTTGTCCACGAATAGCTAAAACCAGCCTTTGGCTGAGTTGAACCGTCTTACTTTAACGTTAACATCGTAAAACTGTCAAACTCCATAAAAACGGTTATTGGTATAATTACCGATTAAGTAAGTTGGTGCATCTGAGCCTTATACAATAGGATGTGCACTATGTTGTATATTTAGTACCCCCCATTACTGTCAATATAAATAGTTTAATTCATATTTTTTATCTATCCCTTTATATTTAGTAGCTCAGAGTGAGAAGAACTTACTATTTAGTATTACTATTTTATCGAAAATATATTATATTTTGACATGAAGAGAGAGGGAAGGATAAGGAAGTAGGATACGCATAAAGTAAAACGTAAAAACATTTTCTCAATGTCATCTACATTTTGGCACCTATATGTATTGAAAGTGCAATGCGATTCGTTTGGTTTGGAGCTCTTGGTTACTTTATCTAGTTTTTCTATTCATCTTGTTTGGCCAAAATTATCACAGAGCCTTGACGCTCGAGTGCGAATGGAGTTATTATGAATTTACGCGTAGTAAGTGCGAATCTTATGAAATATGAAGAAAAACAGATACAGACGAACGAAGTAATTTTATTATAACAGCAGGAAAAAAAACCGCGAGGCATTAAAAGCAAAACCTGATTCGATAAATAAGTTTATTGAAATTGAAAGAAATTTTTATGGTACAACTTTTTTGAAATAAAATTATGTATATTCTTTGGTTTTGGTTGGTACAATAATTTATTTGCAAGATTCATTCCACACTTACTACACGTATATTCATAACATAGCACCTCTTTTATCGGAAACATTTAAACACACAACAAATAGGTAAAACAAGACACTGGCTGTCCGAAAGAAAATGACATTCTTAAATATAATAACATTAATTTATTTACATTATGTCTATCATAAAAAAGATGTAAATCGATACATACATTTTATCATTAATTTATGTATAGTTAGAATCGGAAATATTTTCTATTTTTAAATACTACTCAACAATACTTTCGGTCTCGGTTACAATAAAAATTTAAGGCATTATCGGCAAGCATATCGGTCTTCACACAGAGTCTCGGGGCGCCGCGGCCCGCGCACGTCCGGGGAGGAACAGAAACAACGGTTTTATAATGATCACATAATTATATTATAAAATGATTTAATTACAATAAACAGAATAAGTATCATAACGTACCTACACTACGAACAACTCACATTACGCAGAAGCGGACAGGACGCGGTTCCTCATATTTACAATTTGTACATCGAGCGCTCGGCTCGGGGCGGACGGCGGGCGCGCTCGCGCTATGTACAGCGCCCGCCCCTACAACTGCTCCACGAACTTGGTCAGCTGGTCCTGCGGCGTCAGCGGCGCCAGCTGCTCCTCGGGCGCGGGCGACGGCCGCCGCGGCGACGCCGTGCCCTCGGGCGAGCGCGCCAGCCCGCCGCCGAACCCGAAGCGCCGCGCGCCCGCCGCGAACGGCGCGCGCAGCCCCATCAGCCCCGCGCCCTGCTTGTACCAGCCCGCGCCCGGCCCGCCGCCCGCCACGCCGCCCGCCACGCCGCCCGGGACTTGCGTCACGCCACCGACCTGCAACAACGGGAGAGAAATGTAAGTCTTCCGTTTGCTTCTTGCAAAATCATATTTTGGACGAAATGTTACAACATCATAAAGGTAGCAGGAAGGCGCTGGACGCAGGCCGCTACCAACCGGGCAGCAAGGAAAGCATTGGGGGAGGCCTATGTTCAGCAGTGGACGTCCTATAGCACAGTATGTTATGAGACTGTATAATCGGACATTCTCATTTATTTGATGAACCGTATAGAGCTTAGTTATACAAACATGATAGTAAAACTCCCGTTTGAAAATTCCAAGTAGTTTTCGCGGTATACAAATTCAAAGTTACCTATTTTTTTACTTCAAAATTATGCAAAAATATTCTCACTCGTTAACTAATAACATTTAATTCAGAATTGTTATAATACTTCATAGAGCTCTTAAAACTACACGTAATAAGCTTATTAAGTGCTTCGTAACCGCATTCAGTTAATTAGGAAAAATGATTTTAGTGATTTTTGTTTTTATTTTTTTTCTCAATTATACCATAATATATGCAAACATTTTTAATTGCAAGATATAGTCTGATATTTAATCTAATTGTATAAAGAAAATCAGCTTTAAATTCCGTGATATATTTGAGGAAAATCAAATTGAAAATATGCGCCATATAGAATTGTAAATTTCCCATCACTTTTTAATAGCAATATTTCTTTTGGATGTTTAAATATCATCAGCTCGGTGGTACCAAATTATTGTATTGACATTCGATTTACATAGGTTTCAAATCGATGAGAAAATTATTAAAGGTAGGATAAATTCGACCTCCTAGATTTCTTTACATACTTTTTTAGTTAGTTACTTACCTACATACAACTTAAGTTAATATAAGAGTTTTAAAAAAGAAAAAAGACTCGACTTGAGAACCTCCTCCTTTTTTTTAAGTCTGTTAAAAACAATGTGAATGTGACTTTTTAGAACCTTCAACACTATGCACATAACAGGCGGGATTTGAAACTTTTTAGAATGGGGTACATTCAAATGGGAGTTTTACTATCATGTTTGTATAACTGAGCTCTATACGTTTCATCAAATCAATGAGAATGTCCGTTTATACAGTCCCATAACACACTGTGTATAGCTGAAATTATGATGATGATGTTACAAAAAAACATTTCAGACATCCCGCCTAAACGTCTTCCTGTCAACTCACAGATGTGCCAGAAAAAGTTGTGTACCAAATCTCTCTTTCGTTCCCTGTAAAAATACCTACTTGCACAACTCAAAATGAATACCTTTCAAAACTTCAAGTTCCTACTTTGGGTCAGCAAATATCAAAGGATTAGACAAAAATGTGAATGATTCTTTCACTTTTCTAACCTAAACTGAAATGTTACAATCGATTTACAACATTGAGCCTCATACAAAAACTTAAAACATTTTGGTATAACCCAACAAAATAATATACGAACTAAAATATAAATTAAAAAAAGAAATCAATAAGTATACAATTAAAATAATAAACAGACAGCAGGTTAGAAATAGCACAACAACAATCTAGCATCACTAACCGAATGATATAAGTCCAAACTTGAAGTTGGTCTGCACCCTTGGAAGAAGCTTGACTGTGCCAAGGACCGACCCGGTCAGGAACATCATTATTGGCTCTCAATCAGGAATTACTGATGTCGGTTTAGAGGCAGGCCACAAATTGTCACGCAATGGCTACCTACAGGAGCAAAGAACTTAACAGTGTATAAATAACGTAATATCGTATTACTAGTTGCGGTTTTCTGGAACTCTGATAGTATGATTTGATGACGTAGAAATAAGTCGGCATTCCCGTCGATTAAAACTAGAATTAAATGCATTGCCTACTCGTAATTAAATACACGAAGAGTATGTATGATATGATACGGATCGTCGGAACCGTCCGTCACCTTTCACGACGTGCGCGTCCAGTCAAATAATAGGAAGAATTTTCTCTTTAAAGTTACGAGTACGACCTCTTACAAATGGAAACCTTTTGTGAGGATTCAAGAAAGAAAATGGTAAGAAGATTTAGATTCATCTCTAGACAGAGAGCTAAAACAGCGTACTGAGTGAGATAGCTAGTACTACTTTGCAGCGGATCATTGAAACATGTCTTTGTCAAAAATTGAAAGTGTAGAACTCTACTTAAAACTGCTGTGCGTACTCCTGTGGAATAAAACTGCGCCGAGCGATGACAACTAATGCGCTGAGTACGAATCTCAGTGTCGCATTAGAAATTCACACACACAAAGTAATCAAAAAATAAAAACAATAGTCACGAAGAGTGTGTGTCATGCACACATCGCATTCAGAGCTACTATTCATTCACTTACCAGGTTGCAAGTAATGTACGCAGTGACGTGCGATTGAATGCATTCTGTTAGTTTAAATGTGCTCATTATCCACTGCGGTATCAGTACTCAATGTTCGAATAATCTTTAGTCCTACGCAAGCAATGTAAGCTGTTTACATTATGACATCGCTGCTGTCATAATTGCTTTCACGAGAAATGTGTTTTTGGGCATATTGCTGCGACACCGGCCCCGCCCCCTTGTCACATCTCCCTTTAGTTTCTGTGATCTGTGGTCGAACCCGTCACTGTCAGTTATCAATCGCATACATGTAAAAATGTTCGAACAACTTTTTAGGTTTTTCGAAGTTGAAGTGTTGAATTAAAATTGAATATATTGATAGTTGACATGTTCAAACCTTCACTGGCAAAATCTGCGAAGAACTACGTCAACAATACTAAAAATCATCGCAGTATAGCTTTTAAGTGGCAATAAGCGGGGAAAATGGCTCGTAGAATGATGTTAGCCGTCGAATGGCAACCTGAACGACAAATAGGTTTCTCACTCCGCGGACCGAAGATCTGGCGTGAACACCCGGACAAAGACCTCTCTCATTTCCACACAATCCACGAGGGGAGGTCTTTATTCAGCAGTGGACGGCTTCTAGTTTTGTGTATGGGCAAGATATCACCGCTGCATTACACCAATGTTACATCATATTTGAGACGCGATTAGACACAAGGTACCCTGTACCCGGCGACATATGGCAGTCAACATATCGGCGGAATGTCTGCGACTTGCGAACGTGTTCATTTGCTCGCCGACACACGAAAAATACGACAACTATACAACACACGTCACATTCATACACTCGGTTGTCAATAGTGATAGTCGCGTTCATAGTTGATTAGCAAGCAACTCGATATGAGAAGTTGCCAACTATCCCGTCGACAAAAAAGTTGATAACTTATGTTGGTCAACGGTGATAATAGGTTTCTCAAAACGACATTTCTAGAATGCAGTTGATGACTTCTAAATAAACTTTATTTTCAATGTAGAAAATAATGACGACTATTAAACTTTTTTAAGACTTAACTATTGCGCAACGGGGAATGAGACGGGACATCTTTGAATCCTCAGAGAGATCACAGAAGATTCCTTTACCACATCGACCTAAAAGTTTCGTGCAGTGCATTCAAGAACGACAAAAATACGAAACATTTTACAACTAAAAAGACAAGGAGATAAACATTCAAAATTAAGTATGTATGCATTGTCTTGATTTACGATAGAAGCCAATAAAAAGATAGTGTCCCTGCGCATACGCATAATGTGATTTAAATAAAATACACTTTTGATCAAGATTTGGCAGTTAGGATGACCGTCCAAAATTTTAAAAAAGATAGCCCGCAAGTTGCTCTTTACCCAGCACTTCAAGACAAACATATGGGCAGTTATTATAAACGACGGCACAAAAAGCTAGTCACTGTGCTATCTTATGTACCTACTTGTAATAGGAACGATATTTCAACAAAAATGTCAAGATGGTTCCTACAGAATATCAGTTGCTGAGTTGATGCCATATTGGTTCAATAAATTCTGTAAAATTATATTGTGATACGTTAAAGTGAGTTTGAATTTGAACCAAATAAATTATTGTATTATTCCTTCTTTCTATAGTGCTTTTATCTGTACAAAGACATCGATTTAGTAAGTGAACAGTACGGTACATACTTGCTGCTGCTGCGGCAGCATCTGGTGCATCTGCTGCAGCCGCTGCTGCTGCTGCGGCTGCATCATGTGCTGCAGCGGCTGCTGCTGCGGCACGCCGCCCATGCCCACGCCGCAGACGCCACCCACGCCGCCCACGCCTCCCACTCCGCCCACGCTGCCCACCGCGCCCACACCAGGCCCACCCACGCCGCCCACGCCGCCTACACCGCCCGCTGCGGCTTGTTGGTTTTGGGCATTCTGGAATACAAACATTACAATTTGATAACATTCGTTATGTCTTATAGAATGTATTTACACAGGAGATGTATTTAAGAGAGAGGTGCATCGCTTAGAAACGTGACATAAACAGTTTGATACAGCGAGCGCGACGATAGTGCCACGTACAGGTGGCCATTATGGGCAATATTGTCACTGCTGTTAAGCAAGAAGTAAGTAAATAATGTGAAAAAAAAAATATTAAATATTGTGTTATTTTACTATATTTGACAATTGGACGATGGTAGTCAGTAACATTATTGCCAATAACATTAAAATTGATGTTTTCAGTGAAAAATGAGCCTACTGGTGACTAAAACGGGGTGCCATCATCATTATCATTTATTTTTTTGGTCTCGTTTCCACCACGGTCTTGGAAATCGGTAAAATTTACAGTCGCTATTCTTCTTGGTGTTATTACAATTCACAACAACACATCTTGCTAGAACCATATTTTATCTCAAAAACGATTAGAAAATGTTTACTGCAATATGGATTTGACAGCTCAAGTCAGCGACTAAAATGTCAATTTAAGCCGCAGCGAACGCTGTGATCGTTTAGGCTACTCTCTCCATCCGCTTTGCACCCTGCCAATAGTTCAACCTTGTGTAGTGACTGACTCAGGCATGAGTAGTGTTTCTCAATTCCCAATTCCATATGCACAATTTTCTTTGGCCGGCCACTTTAATTTTGGTCCATTAATTATGTCCGATGACCTTCTTAAACACTTTTTGAAAAATAGGCAAATACCCTATTTACAGTCTAATTTTTTAGAAATTAGCAGAAATGTCATCAAATATGGCCAACTGACATAAAAATATTTTTAGTCTGTGAACTAGTGATGCGACAAAACCTCTCGTTAATCGCGAAGTGAAATGTTGTAGTACTTGCGTATCATCGCCGGGTGATCGTCAAAATACTAAAAATATGCAACAAAGTCGCAACATTGAATGTGAACTGATAATTAAATTTTCGAGAACAGGAAACAAACTGTATGCACAGATGTAATCAAAAAACACACTGGACAGTAAAACAATCAATGATATCCGTAAAGTTATTAAACTTCTGTTGCTTGCTGCGTGATTGGTGGATTTTGACATATCTGTCAATGTCATGTCAAAAATAACCAATCATGCAGAATTTGGACCTCGCGTCTACGTATTGCCATCTGGCGGAGTTTTCAATCGCGAAAACCCTCATTGAAAGAAGTTGTTTATTTTCTTAAAAATAAACAATGGAACAATACGTAAGCATAATTGCATAAAAAAGTAAAATAATTTCGTTTAAATAACTAAACTAAAAGACTAAAAATTAAACTGACTCCGAAAAAGTAAACACTAAAAGTAGAAAAATAAATTTACGTTATCTCCAATATTGTCGAAGTTATCGCTGGAAAACTAAACAAAGTATCGTATATTTTTTATTTAAAATTAATCAGTAATCGGAATAAGTGAATACTTAAAATAATATCGATTAAATTTACAGATTATTGTCTATGACTCACAGGTTACGGCACTGATGTGTCAGAGACAAGTCATAGACAATATGGAGATAACACATGATTTTAAACGTCAAGTCAATTTGACAAGTCTCACAAATTTTCATCGTCCACGTATTTTGCTAAAATAATTTGTTTCAAAGATTGATTTCAAACTTGTATAAACGTGAAAATAAAGTTGGTTTCATGGGCTTGTTAAATAATGTGTATGATATTATGAACACGTAAGTGATTATGGTGTAATTGTGTATGAAAGTGTTTGTTAACATCTCTGCTGGATTCTAAAAAATCAAGGTATACGTGACTGCAAGTAGAGTACCCAACAAGATTCTGTAAATATGATAGTGAACAAAAAACAGAGCTATCTATTAATGTATCACATGACTAACGAATATTGCCATCCCTCTCACGCAAAGTGAAATGCCAGCATGAGCGATAGTGACAGAGACACGAAAGTACATAAACAGAGTTTCAGAGTTCTGTTATCCCTGCTGTTTCTCTTTGATGTCACTTGTAGATTCTGTTTTTCGAAGTCAACAGGATCGATTGATTTCAAATTATGAACTAGCTTTAGGCTGCATTTCTACCAGAGATGTGCGAGGATGCGTAGCGAGGGCTTCATTTAAGTAAATGAAGCGATTCTATTGGTTCTTTGCAAACACATCCCTCGCTACGCTACGCATCCTCGCACATCTCTGGTGGAAACGCAGCCTTACAAAGGTCACTTAAAAATTGTTTTTACGGGTTAAGTTAAAAGAGCCTACGCTAAAATTTTAGCACGGACGTCCGTTAAGGCCTATGCTGAAACTTGAGCAGGTGCACGACAGACGCGAGTCTGCACCCGCATATTTAATGCACGGAAAAAAACCTGCCTTCCGCCGCGCATGTGGGAACTGTTCATACTATTTTTCGACATAGACACGGTGAGTTCTAGCAGAGGCCCTTAGAGAATTATTTTTGAATGAGTGCTGTTAATTTACCTGTCTTTGTTTGATGAAGGCGGCCATGAGCGGTGGGTTGGACTTGAGGATCTGTAGTATCTCCTGCTGCTGGTTGTGCGTGGTGGGCGAGCGTAGTGTCGCCATCAGCTGCTGCAACGCCTTCTGGTGCATCTGAGGTTGCGTTTGTTGCTGCTGAGGCGCGGGTGCTCTTTGCTGGAAGGTTTACAACTTTCTATTAGTATTTGTTGATGGAGAAATCGTTTGCGAATAGATCGCTTGGACGATAATGTCACCCACATTACAGTATAAGCACAGAAACAAACTTAAAATCAAAATAGTGCAAATATAAGTGGAAAATGTTAACAAGTTGGCAATTTTCATCTTGATTGGCAATAGTATTCATAATAATGAATTAGGTTACGTCCACTAATTGTAAAGTTAATATACCTAGCGGAAAAGAGCAATAAAGAATTGAGCGATCGAGAAGACACTAGCTAGCAGTAACACTGTGTGATAAAAAGGGACGCGTGATGCCGTCGCCGACAAACAGAACCATTTTTTGCAACTATTTGACAGTTCCTTAGCACTTATTGGCATGCTGAAAATTTGAACTAAGATATTTTCAGATTTTATGTGAGTGAAATCGTGAATATTTATGAGAAGTAGTGCCACAGAGACGTGGAGACCGGTTCAGTGATTGATTTATTTTACAAAACAGTGAAATAATAATCCTGACACTAGACACACAAGACATCCAGTATCATTCAAAATCGGTTTCGTTCGACAGTTCGTGGTCGGTGCTCTATTCCGAAGGAATATTGACTTCATGGTTGTAACGGAAACTCTAAGGCTGGTTTTGGAGTCACGCTGACGCACGCTGACCGTCAGCGCTGACAGCCGAAATGTATGAAGCGTCGGCGCCGAGCGATCAGCGTCATTCAGGAACGTTCTCTTCAATTACATACAGAGCGGTCAGCGCGATTCTAAGGCCCGCCATACACGGACAGCTCGAGCAGTTAGTCAGTAATCAACATACACGGACCACTCTTGTAGTCAATAGTCAACAGCTTGAAGCTGCCAGTGATAACTGCTCGAGCAGTTGGTATTAACTGCTCAACAAATCACAAGCGCGCGCGCCGTGGAATGAAGAAAGTTGGCGGAGGTAACTGCGCGAGAGCCGTCGACAGCTCGAGCAGTCAGTGTATGGCTGGCGACTGCTTGACCGCACGATGAAAATTCACCGTGCTGCCGACCGCCCGAATCGGTTGCAACTGCTCGAGCGGTTCGTGTATGTGCGTCCATAGAACTCTGCAGTTCACTGTGCAGTCGCAGCTTGAAGCTGTCGACCCTGACTGCTTCAAGCGGTTCGTGTATTGCCAGCCTTAAACCCGCCAAACGCTTGTTTGATTGATTTGCTTGATCAACCGAAACAAAAGAACATACTTGTTGGAGGGTTTGCTGTTGGTGCGTGAGCGCGGGGTGCTGCAGCGACGTCAGCTGCTGATGCGGCGGGTGCTGCTGGTGCGGCTGGTGCAGCGGCTGGTGGTGGTGGTGCGGCAGCCGCGCGTGGTGCGCGTGGTGCAGCGGCGGCGGCGCGCGGTACCGAGCCGCCCAGTCGGCGCGCGCGCCCATGCCGACCACGCCCACGCCGGCGCCGGCCACGCCCACGGCGCCGCCCACGCCGGCCACGCCGCCCACGCCGACGCCCGGCGGGCCCATGCCGCCTTGTTTGCCGTACGACGGCGCTTGCTGTCGCGCCGCCTCCTCTTGGACCTACATAATTATACCGGATTGATTTATACGGTGATCAATCAAAATCAAAAATATTTATTCAGTTTAGACCTTATGAACTTCTAAACACTTATGTACTGATACTGTAAGTTTCCTTATGCACTTATGAACGTCAAAATTTAAATATAAAAAAAAAAAAGAAAAGGTAGCCCTTATGGGGCACTTTACATGTCTCCTTTTCTTTTGGGCCCTACCAGCGGTTCGAGACAAACATATGGCAAGTGCTGAGAATTCGATCAAATTGATTGTCATTCGGAATAAGTCTAGCGAAGGGATGTAATCTGCTTCTTCTTCCATCTTTAAATTTAATTTGCCACGCTAACATCTGCAATAAGAGAACTTTCATATACAGGCGTTCTAGTTGCGCTACTATCGCACCAACTGTTCCGTCAAATAATGCCTTAACACTCCACAACGTACCCTTCATATTTGTTAGATTCCTATATTATGTGAAAATGCTTCAAAGTGCGCTACAATTGTAGTTCCATTTCGAGGGTTGTGTCACTTCCGTCGAAGTCGTTGTTGTAAAATAAGATGTACCATCCTAGACTGCATCCCACTTAACATCAGGTGCGATTGTGGTCAAATACCTGGCTTGTTATGCATAAAAAAGTGTCAGTACGCACCTGCTGCAGCGCCTTCTGCACGTTGTGCGGCAGCGAGTGCTGCGGCTTGGAGGGCGGCGGCGACGCCAGCGCGGGCGGCTGGTGCGGCGGCGACGAGGCGCCCGGACACGCGCGCGTGTTCATGGCCGCCATACGTCGCCGTAGCAACTTCGCTTGCTGCACTCGTTGCTGCACCTGCTGCTGCTTTAGCTTCTGCTTTATGCTGCTGCAGAACGGCACTGAGCATTTTGTTTCCTGTGAAAATAAACGTGTTTAGAGTAGGCGCACACTGTTGATTTTTCGTCGACCGATAGTTTAGTCGGGCAGTTGAAAAGTATGGGCATGTATGGGAGTGCGCACACTACGCCGATTCGATTTGGCCGATTCTTCATACAAATTAAAATCGGGCACAACTATCGGCCAACTAAAAATCCACGGTGCGCGTACTCTTAGTATTTGTTTGACTAGATTTAGGGCGGATTTTTCAATCGTCGGATAACTAAGTTTTGGACTAATGACTAACTGAAAAATAAGTTTGACACTTTCACAGTTTATTATTGGCATTATTCTTCAATTAAAAGATTTCTGACGATTGCAAAATCAGCCCTTAGTCACTATATGGTGGACCACAGTTCCAGCTACACATTTCAGTTTTTTTTCGCTCTCATCAAATGGTATTTACGATAGAACGAAACGACACCACCGGAACTGGATAGGTAGAACTGTGACCCATTATATGGTATAATTTGAAATTGCAATCCAACGAATAAAATAAGTTAGAATTTATAATACAAATCAATACAGTTAATGTCTATCTAACACAACAGTCATGGAAAAGTAGTAAAATCCTTACTTGACAGTGTTTCGCGTGGTAACAGCACAACGCGATGAGCTGCTTGCAAATAGGGCAGTCGCCCTTCGTCTTGCGCTTGCAGATCTTCGTGTGCGTGACGACACGCTTCATCTTCTGGCAGGACGGCAGGCGGCAGTTGGCGTCGCGGCACTGGCAGGCGTGCACCAGCGACTGGATGCAGCGCTGGATGGACAGCTTGCGCGCTTCCTGCGGGTTGGCCTGCTTCATGTCGCCCGGCGACGAGCCCACGTCGATGTCGAGGCCCAGCTTCTCCATCTTGTGCGGATGGCCCTCCTTGTCGTAGCACGGCACGCACAGGTCGAAGTCGTCGCACACGGTGCAGTGGTAGCGCGTCTCCACGTGCGCCTTGCACGTGTTGCACGTGTACACGAACTTGTCCGTGCCCTGGTTGTGCAGCTCGTACAGCATGCATAAGGTGGAGAAGCGCGCGCGGCGCGTCGACGAGAACTCGTAGTGGCGGTCGCGGGCCATCGTCAGGAACGCGTCTCGCCCGTCCATCAGGTCGCAGTTTATTAACGGGTCCGGGTCTTGGATTGGCTGCGGAAATACGTTTACGTTTGAACACCTATCGTAATTAGATTTAGATGAAAATAAATTACTGTCAAACAACTTTAAACACGGCCATATAAATATGACTTTTGATTGATTGAACAGTAAAAATAGAGAAGTTTCCTGGGTAAAAAAAACAAGTTTGAATTGAATTAGTCAGTTGGTTAACTTATCAAAAATTACTGGACACGTATTTTTCAACTTTTCAAACTAATGAAAATTGAAAGAGATAAAGCGCGTCAACGTTCAAAAGAAGAGGCTCGTGACATCAAGGCGTGCTTAAAACTGTGGCAATTTATAAAGTTACGCGGAACTTCAACGCATCATAACTTCGAAATTACTTGTTTGATTGACAAATAAAAATATACGTGTCCTATATTTTTTGAAAATGTAATTTATGGACTGTGTTTTTTTAAGGAATTCTAATTAATTTGAATTTTCTAGTCTATTCTAAAAGGAACGGAAATGGCGCAGTCGGGTAATTACAAGTCCTCTCGTTTAACTATTTTTGGTTCAGAAAAGCTAGACCGAGATATGATAATGTGGCATAGACGCACGCAATAAAGCGACAAGAACCAGTTGACAGGGCTGTGGAAGAAGTCCTAACTTACCGCTAAGCTCGCCGCGGACTGTGCGGAATGTAGCCTAATTACGAAGAAAACTTCTTTATGTTTCTCCATGGTCGCAAATATCTTTGCACTGAGATCACTACCCTGCTGCTGGTCGCTCTGTTTCTTGCTGTTCTTTCTCTGAGCGGCTTTTGATTTATTCGATTTCTTCGCTTTCTTCTGGCCTTTCTTCTTGCCGTCGGGGCCTTGTTCGTTTTCCTCTGACGACTGGAATATCTAAAAAACATGTTAGGGATATCGTCACACAGTTGTTCCGCCACCCAAGTGTGGTTATTTACAGTGAAATAAACTATAAAAAGCAGACGAGAAAGATTTAAAAAAAATAAGATGGGAATTGATATTTTCAAAATTCAAATGGCTGCCAAAGTTATCGCGCGGAGTGCATTAGAGCGGTTTCGTACTACGTCCGATCCGAACCCGTGACAATAAAGCTCCGCAGTAGTCGTAGAAGTATTTGTATGGTAGCTTACTTACTAGATCTGATATCGATATCCGTCATCCATTTTCTCTAGTAGTTTTCTAGATCCGTATTTCACAGTGTTTACAGAATATTAAAATATAGACAAAAGTTGGTTGGTTGACGTGAGTAAAAAAAGTGTCTAAAACAGTGATTTTTTAACTTAAATAACTAAATGGTCCTTCGAGCCGGATGATCGAAAGTAAAGTGTTAAAAGGATTCGGATCGAAAGTAATGCGAAACCGCTCTTAACCCTTATAGTTTAGTTTACCCTTTACCTGTACTACAGGTATGCAAATACCTATCACAGGCATCAGTCTCACACAAATAACTTTGTTTTTGAATTGTAATTAATGTGCTTAAAAACTTGTGTCATTGTAATGTTTGTGATGAGAAAATAAATACTATTTATTATTTATTTATAGTGTTCGGGAGAGACGGCTACAGTGCTATACTGACCACTGCCTCGGCGGCTTCGAGCTGCTTGCGCTTCTCCTCCTCCTCCTGGTCCAGCTCCTTGATGGACTCCTCGAGCACGTTGGGCCAGAAATCGCCCTCGAAGTACGGCAGCTCGGCCGCGGACGAGATGCTGTCCTCCATCGCTTGCTTCAGAATATCTTTGTAGTCTAATATTATCCTCTCTATTATACCTTTGTCTAACATTTTCTTATACCACTCTTGCAGCCTTTTAGGCTTAGGAATCTTTTGTTCGGGCGGATGGCAGTGGAAAATGTAGTCGTCGCCCTCGGAGGGCGGGCACGCCCATATGTGGGCCATCGTATAGCCCAGCTGCTTTGCATAGTCCAAATAACCTAATAAAATCTCGTGATATACAGCGGTTCGGTACAACCTAGGTTGGAAGAAATGTACAGAGTCTAAATAAGCTATATACACACGCCTCGTATTGGGCGAAGGACTTTCGCTGCCGTACTCCTGAAATGGAAAATCAACAAATTAGTCATCATCATCCCATATACAGTTGCAAATGAACAGTGACTCATTAAGTACGATGAATACGTTACCTGTACGTGCATGCCAAAGAAACAAATGTCGGTTCCGTCAACCTCTTCAAATGCAAACAACGCTTTTGCCCGATACGGGAATTCAGCGCACAGCTCGCCGGATTCCACAAACCTGGATCTCATGCCAGGTTTTACTTCCACCATCTAAAATAAAAAGATTTGACTTTAATTTTGTAGATCATAATCCCAATTACAGAAAAAATATGGTGATACCAAGTTGTGAATTTCACGCAGCTAAAAAAAGACTTTATTACCTTATCAGATGACGCAACCACCCTGATATGCACTTCACCAGCACTAGCCTCTTTTTTCTTAAGAAAATTATTGACTCTCGTCTCAATATAAATGCCAAGTTTCGAGGTAGGCAGCTTCTTAGCACAAAATTTGTTCTCTTTCCTCTTAGCTCCTTTCATTTTCAAACAATTATCACAGCAGAAGCCCTGAGGCCATATTTGGTCATGGTGCAGCACGCATATCTGATGCTGCTTTCTACCACAGTCCATACACACGACGAACGGTTCTTGTTCTAAATGGTCATTCTTCATCTCCTTGAATTGATCCTTTTTGATTGCACTGAAAAAGTTAATCCGATTTAGCATAATTTGAAAACAATAAGGGATGTTAACATTGACAGAAAATTGTTTTGAAACTGTCATGGACACAAACATTAGATTTATAGCCTGACCAGGAACATAAAAACCCTGGCATAGAGGCGCGTCAATTGCATTTGATAGTGCAACACTGAGTACAGTCGTACCTGTGTTAAATTAATAGGCTAACTTTACGTATCAGGATTCAGGATTACGGGCTAATTTGATATTTTCATAAATTAACGAAAAGATATTATTATAGGTAACCTGGTTTAAATAAATTAAATGAAACCATCAATCGAGCTAGTAGGATTTATTTTATTATTCATCAATAATCAAATTCAGAACTTGAATATTCAACTGCAATGTCTGCTCATGAACGCTTCAAACTCGGTACTTCTTTCCCAATTCCATAAAATTCAACACTTAGAAAGTGACAAACAATTTTAAAATTGGTAGTTGAAACAAACCACAGCTAATTTTCATAGTGGACTGTACTATACGATAAACATGTCAGTCAATTTGACAACCTTTGTCGGAAACATTATTCAATGAAAATATTGTCCGAACCCTTAGTATTTCTCTTCGACAAATACTTTAACACATTGTGAACCACTTTTCTTTCACGACTATAAAAAGATTTTAGCAATTTAATTCACAAAATCAATTGCGCACATTTAAAATAAAGTTTGTTTACACTTTGACAGCAATAGACTGACATACAAGGTGACATGTCAATGAAATTTTCAGTTACTGTTGCCATTAAAAGAAATTAGTACCATTAGTTTTCCGCAACATGGCGAGGGTTTTTATGTTCCTGGTCGGGCTATAACGATAGAAGTTTCAACAAGAGCTGTGTTCAATCAAAGGTTTTATAGTAAAAAAAGTTCCAACTTACGTCTGAGGTTGTAGCGGATCGTCTCCGAGCGTGACGGTGTCGCCCTGGATGTCGTTGAAGCATTTCTGGCAGAAGGTGTATCTATCGGACACAACCCCATACGCTTTTAGACTTTATTCACAACGGCCATGTAGCAGTAGTGATGTGAAGCGTGACGAACGTTTGTGTGCGGGCAAGGACGTGCGTGGAGGGCAAAAAAAATTAGTAAGCAATGAGAACATAAAAGGGTTATTATTAGTAGACAGTGAGCACATGATAGGTTATTAACATAAAGAGTAAATGAGTCGACATGTAAAACTATGTTCTTATAACACTGATAGTTTTACATGGGACAGAGAGCTAAGGCGATTAGACACCATAGGCAACTAGGATCACTGTAAAGTATTACTGCCTTCTTCTGTAATATAGTTTTTAAAATGTTGCCTCATTGAGTGTCTAAAGCCAATTTTTGTCATAAAATCCCTAATTTTTATTTAGAATTCATCAATATAAATTTCCATCATAGTACTATTCAACTCCTCAATAAAAATTTGCCTAAGTGCTCAAAGTTTTATTGCAGTAACACTTCAACAGTGAAGATTTACAATCAAACGGAAACAGTGAAACATGCCATGGCTCAAAGGCTGATCACATATTCCCTAGAACTCTTTATAATATTTAGATAATTATCTTAGAATCAGAAAAAATGTACACCATAGAGCTTGCTGTTCATTATAGCTAAGATAAATGAAAGGTTTAGAACTTATCCTCGTTGTAAAATAACTATTCAGAACGCAATTTAAAAGATTAAAGTTATTGGAAGGTTTCTCTAACGCGCCTTGCAAAGCCTAGATGAACAGTAAACCCTATTTACGAAACAGTTACTGTGAGCAGCCTTTAAAAGTTTACAGCAAAGGCTTTAATAGCACTGTTTTACGACACAACACTAATTATTGTTATTCCAATACATCAAATTGCAGCCATTGCAATATGGTCTTAGCGGTACATCAAATAACTTGCGATAGATAGTGTTTTAGTCATATTTGGCTTCCTTTTACAGTGCCACGTGTTTATACCACAATATTGAATTTATAATAAAGAACATTTAATTAATCTCATTAATGTTAACTATAAGATTGTACAAATTCTTGGCACTGTATAGGACTATTCTTCAAACAAGCTGCTGCCAGTGAAATCATTGAGATTTTGGAAAATTTAACTTTTCTCTGGTAAACTTTAAGAATAGTAGTAATTTCAGAAAGCTAGCTTGTTTGAAGCAAAACATACAGACGTAATTCTTTACTTGAGCGTTAGAATAATTAATTTTAACAAAAAACATGTTAATACATTCGAGAACTCTTTTTACTATATTAATTTTGAAAATGTTGTTATCAAACAGAAAAGATATTTCTGAAGGCAAAATAAAAGCTCAGGTATTGATGTAGGTCTTATAGCCAAGAGACATTGTCGTGGTTATTTAAGTACAGTAATCCAAGATAATTATTGGCAATGTTGTGCACACCAGGCAAAACATTTTTTTTTAAACCATGTCTCTAGGAAAAACATAAGCGAGAATATGAAAGAAATCTCCAGAAAATTAAGCAGCATCAAAAGAAAACTTGTTTGTAGAGTGATATAAGGTGTTTGTGTTCTGGTAGTACTCAGTCGTTCGCGATCAATGGCTTGCGTACAGCGACCTGGCGCTTTATGTGTGTATTGTATTACATTGTTCTGTGATAATCATAGCCATTAGCACGTGACGCGGACGCGCGAATTACATCGTTTTCAGTACACAAGTTTCATAGTTTCAGTAGATTTACCTACTTTCAAATATGTTGCGCAATTGAGGTAATAAACTGATACATCCGAACGAAACAAGCTAATTGATTTTGATGACGGCAAAGTAATAGGAACTGAAACGTGTCGTATTACATTATTGCTACTGGAGCTGAACGCCGACATGAAATATTAAATAATCATCATTTTAACTAAAATATTCAGCTTTTCCTGCAAAATTTCAAATGATCTTGCTAAATAATATAATTTAATTCAAGTAGTGATATTTTGAAATGTAATAAGCAGCCACGACGCAAACGGCTTCCATTATCACAGAAATAAACAAATGCTTAAATGCCATAAGTACAGTACAATTTTTGCATATCACATAATAATATACATACTCGTAATATGCGCTACAAATTACTCTATTCCAGCTTCTATTATTTAGAAGTTTAGCCCTTGCCTGCAATAAACCATAAACCATCTTAGTATTTTGTATTTTTTTCTATTATTGCCTCTGATAGAGTACTTTGTACGCAAAAAACAAATTCAAAATAGTTTTAAGTGCCGACACACACTTTGCTGCTCTTCGGGATATTCAATAAAAGTATGCAAAAATCATTACGGTAACAAATACGAAACTGCAAGACTGAAAAGTGGCTGTAAGCCTTGCGACTGTTACCATCATTTAGTTAGACTGTGGTTGATGTATACCTGTAGCAACCTAGTATGTGGCAACACTTGACACTAAACATAACTTTTAGCAACTGACCTGTTCTGGTAACTGAAGTACTTGGCGTCTCGCGGGATTGTACACAGCTGCTTCCCGAAGCAGCATAGCACTTGCGGGTTGAACGTATACTTTCTGCCGCAGCAGTAGCCTAGACTCTGCATGACCGGGTCTATTTCTTGTTCGAACACCTCTGACAGCTGGAATAAATCAACAATATTAGAAATGATTCTGTTATAATAAGTCATAGCAAAAAATTAGAGGTGGTCAAATAGCCTGAATTCTGACGTTTTGCTGCAGATGAAATGTGCGTGTACAGTGACATGTAAAAAAACACGTAAAGATAAACTTAAAGATTGTACTAGAAAATGTATTCTTATTGGATAATTTACTATTCTTCTTGGAATAATAAAGATTCTAAATTATTTGATCATACAAGTTGCATTATTTTCATGTTTTGTCTGCAATGAAAATGAGGTTATTGTAAGTTGGTTTGCGTAGCAGTTGGAGACTTAGCATTTCAAAGTATGGTAATTTAATTTTACATGAAAGATTCAAAGGAATTGCATTTAAATATCATGAAACATCAATCTCGGGTTCTCCTTATGTTTCCCTTTTTCCAATACTAATATTATAAAGGGGGAAGTTTGTTTGTTTTTTAGTAATAAATACACCGCTCACCTTGGTACAGTATCTGTAGACTCTGGAGTTCTTTCTGTTGTAGAGCCACGCGTTTTCAAACATGAGCCAGACGTCGTCCACGTACTGCCACGGGTCCTTGTACTCGCCGTGGTCCAGCTTGTTCTTGATCGTGGACAGGTCGATGGGGTTCTTGACGATGTCGAAGTAGTCCGGGATGCCGAGAGCCTGGGCGTCCACGGGCTGGCGGAAAGGCAACGACTCGGGTTCCTGCCGGAAGAGTTTCTCTAGGGTCGGCATGAGCGCTTGACGGAGCTCCTCCGACTTGAAGACGAAGGTTCTCCTGGCGCCGCGCTCGCCCGTATTGTTCTCTAAGGAGCTGGCCTCTGCAGGCTCGTCTTTAATTTCTTGTTTGATCTCCTGCTTGATTTCGTGCTTGACCACGAAGTCGCTATGCTCGACAGGGTCGCCGGGCGGCTCGTCGCGCATACCCTTGCCTCCGCAGTCTTCCTCGATCTCCTCTTTTATTCTGGTCTCTTCGGGTTCTTGTTTGATTCGAACCTAAATGAAAAAGAATTCGTGTTTATTGTTAGTTTAATAAACGAGCCTATTTTATGGACTTGTGTGACTGAACAAGTAGTTTCAAACATGAAACATGTAGTAGTTTGCTAGTATTGCATAAATATTAATAGTTCTATGGAGTGGAAATATAGAATTCATATTAGGATCACGTTTCTGCAATGCCTGTAGTTTGTTATTCAGATGTTACAATTTAATGAATAAAAAATAGTAAATAAAATGGAAAGCTAGATCTTGAACAGTTATAAAGGCTGAAAACTTGTGATTTGAACATATCACACGGAACACTTGTAACTCATCACGTGAGCTGCTCACTTCAATTATTTTTTGCAATTGTGCCGTGTCCTGGACGTCTGGACTTTTCGAGATAATAGTATGGACCAGTGAGAATCAGCACATGAAACTATGTCTTTCAGTATGACTATCAGCTTAGTAAGCTGAGCTTACCCCTGGTCTTGGTAGTCGATCTCAGGCTAGTGCGTGTATAATATAGGACGGGCCAAATATTTTAAGGGCGCGTGTGTGTCGGGAAACTTTGCATCGTTTCATGCAATTTTAGTCACGATGGAGCACTTCACAGGACAACAGCGTGCTGTTTGTGTATTTTCTTTTTATAAAAGCAATGATTCCTATGTTACTGTATGACACCTGTTTAGAACTGAATGTGGGTTACGTTCTTACGGTACACAGTACTGTGGTGTACTTAGGGTTGGCATGTTTAAAACAAGTTGTTTTTAACACATGTTTTAAACAGTTTGAGATGAAACAGTGTTTTTATTTAGAGTTAAAAACATACATTAAAATATGCTTTAAACAATTATAAAACATAGATAAAAAACAAGGTTTCAAAACTACTTTTTATCACTAATAAATGGAAATAATAAATGAATATTTTGTGACTTTACTAAATAGCTTGACATAAAATAATTTCTGTCTATGCTATTTTCCAACCCTGGGTGTACTCACCTCCTGCGCCTGCTCCTGGTCGTCTAGCTCGGGCGGCGGCGGCGGGTCGGGCGGGGGCGCGGGCGGGCGGGACGCGGGCCGCTCGGGCGCGCGGCACGCTGGTCATCCTGCTCACCCTGTTCTTGAGTGAGCAGGATGTCGAGTTGCCGCACAGCTGTCGCGCTTCTAATGTACACAGTACTATAGTGCACTCACCTCCTGCGCCTGCTCCTGGTCGTCTATCTCGGGCGGCGGCGGCGGGTCGGGCGCGGGCGCGGGCGGGCGGGACGCGGGCCGCTCGGGCGCGCGGCGCTGGTCATCCTGCTCACCCTGCTCTTGAGTGAGCAGGATGTCGAGCTGCCGCACAGCTGTAGCGCTTCTAACGCCCTAATATGAAAGCGCTCTTACGGTACACAGTATTGTGGTGCACTCATCTCCTGCGCCTGGTCCTGGTCGTCGACCTCGGGCGCGAGGCGTGCCGCTCGTGCGCGCGGTACGCTGGTCATCCTGCTTACCCTGCTCTTGAGCAGCGCGCTGCTGTCGCGCTTCTAACGCCCTAATGTGACAGCGCTCTTACGGTACACAGTAGTGTATGTGGTGCACTCACCTCTTGCGCCTGTTCCTGGTCATTGACCACGGGCGGTGGCGGCGGGTCGGATGCGGGCGCGCGGCGCTGGTCATCCTCTCAAGAGCAGAGTGAGCAGGACGTCGAATTTGCCGCGCGAGCCCGTACGCCCAGTGTGGAACCATTATAAAAAAAACGCCGCTTCCGCGCTGCTGTAGCTAATGTACACAGTACTGTGGTGCACTCACCTCCTGCGCCTGGTCCTGGTCGTCGACCTCGGGCGCGAGGCGTGCCGCTCGAGCGCGCGGCATGCGGCGCTGGTCATCTTGCTCACTCTGCTCTTGAGTGAGCAGGATGTCGAGTTTTCCGCGCGAGCCCTTTCGCCCAGTATGGACGTACCATTATAAAAACGCCGCTGCCGCGCTTCTAACGCCCTAATGTGACAGCGCTCTTACGGTACACAGTAGTGTATGTGGTGCACTCACCTCCTGCACCTGTTCCTGGTCGTCGAGACCGGGCGGCGGCGGCGGGTCGGGCGCGCGGCACGCTGGTCATCCTGCTCTTAAGTGAGCAGGACGTCGAGTTTGCCCTACAGCTGTCGCGCTTCTAACGCCCTAATATGAAAGCGCTCTTACGGTACACAGTATTGTGGTGCACTCACCTCCTGCGCCTGTTCCTGGTCATCGACCTTGGGCGCGAGGCGTGCCGCTCGTGCGCGCGGTACGCTGGTCATCCTGCTCTTAAGTGAGCGGGACGTCGAGTTTGCCCTACAGCTGTCGCGCTTCTAACGCCCTAATATGAAAGCGCTCTTACGGTACACAGTACTGTGGTGCACTCACCTCCTGCGCCTGGTCCTGGTCGTTGACCTCGGGCGGTGGCGGCGGGTCGGATGCGGGCGCGCGGCGCTGGTTATCCTGCTCACTCTGCTCTTGAGTGAGCAGGATGTCGAGTTTGCCGCGCGAGCCCGCGTGTACACAGTACTGTGCTGTGGTGCACTCACCTCCTGCGCCTGCTCCTGGTCGTCGACCTCGGGCGCGAGGCATGCCGCTCGAGCGCGCGGCATGCTGGTCATCCTGCTTACCCTGCTCTTGAGCAGCGCGCTGCTGTCGCGCTTCTAACGCCCTAATATGAAAGCGCTCTTACGGTACACAGTACTGTGGTGCACTCACCTCCTGCGCCTGCTCCTGGTCATTGACCTCGGGCGACGACGGCGGGTCGGATACGGGCGCGCGGCGCTGGTTATCCTGCTCACCCTGCTCTTGAGTGAGCAGGATGTCGAATTTGCCGCGCGAGCCCGTTCGTCCTGTGCGCTCTTACAGTACACAGTATTGTGGTGCACTCACCTCCTGCGCCTGCTCCTGGTCGTCTAGCTCGGGTGGCGGCGGCGGGTCGGACGCGGACGCGCGGCACGCTGGTCATCCTGCTTACCCTGCTCTTGAGCAGCGCGCTGCTGTCGCGCTTCTAACGCCCTAATGTACACAGTACTGTGGTGCACTCACCTCCTGCGCCTGCTCCTGGTCGTCTATCTCGGGCGGCGGCGGCGGGTCTGGGGCGGGCGCGGGCGGGCGGGAGGCGGGCCGCTCGGGCGCCGGGCTGGGGTGCGCCAGCGGCGTGTGCGGCGTGCCCGGCGCCGGCGACGCGCCCGCGAACGTCGCGTGGTTCACGAACGGACTGTTCGGCACGGGACCTTGAAGCCGGACCTGGGTAGGACGCTTGGGGTTAATTGTGAAGTCTTGTGTGGTTGGGATAGGTGCTACTTTGCAGCAAGACTAAGCGAGAAATAGTATACTTCAACATTCAAGTTTAAAGTTGGGTGAACAATAGAATTGTTAGCGCTTATAAGAAAAATGGCGATCGCTAAGCAGTAATCACTGCTAAAAAATTTATGAAAAACGTCACTATTGAAGTTAGCAAATGTGTCCTCGCCGAAAACAGGCTAAAGTTTTCAGCAGTTGCCATAGCAATCGCCATTTTGCTTACAAATTCTTGCAATTTCTATTTTCGGCCAAACCATCACATACTTCTTAAGTAGATGTAACTGATGCTATTTTGCAACTAAATATGCGAAATCATATTATCCTAAGAATCTTGCGATATTTTGAACGACATTCAAACTTTACATTGGACTTATAAGCCACCTCACAATGTAATTTCCAGGCGACAACACATCAACCTAGCATTGTATTGGTTTTTGCTATAACTGTAATGGTCCTTCGAGCCGGATACATCAGAATAAAATATAACAACAGTAAAACCTTCGAATTTAGTTAGGACAAGTAACTTTTATCGTACAGCTACCTAAATTAAAATTGAAGAATCTGTAATACATCAAAGAGTTGTATGTTACCTTTGTATCGGGATGACTGGGCGAGGCGAGGGGGGCGGGGCCGTTGCTCAGCAGCGCGGGGTAGGACGCGGGTGACGTCATCGTCTGACCGAACGGGGACATACCCGGGTTGCCAACCACGGTGCCGCCGTTTGGTGTTTGAGGCATCTACGGAAATGGCAAACGGGTTAAAAATCTGTCACGAGTTCATAAACAGAAGAATTCAATTCAGAGTTTATATGTGTATGATCAATCACTAACTTATAGAATGTCGATAACTCATCATGATATGCGACTAGTTAGATGCGTTTAAAAATTGGCAAGCTCCCTATTTTAAAAAACAAAAAAATGTAAATGCATCGCATACTCACTTGGTTCGGACTTGGTCCTGGCGGCCCAACGAGGTTGGTAGGGAACGACATTCGGTTGGTGGGCATGCCGAGGGTCATCCCCGCGTGTCCGGGCGACGGGATCCTCATGCCCGGCAATGATTGCGTCGGCATCTGTGGCCTGGACAACCCAGCTACCGCATTCGGCGCCGGCGGTCGCACGCCCGTCATCACCCCACCCCCAGACATCACGTTGACTTGCTGCTGAGGAATGCCCTGCCCTTGGGTCAGCTGATTCTGTTGTTGCTGCGCCTGCAGCTGCTGCTCCTTTCTCTTCTGTCTCTTTTCTTCTAACTCCTTCTGGATTTTGTATATCTTCTCCGCGAGCAAGTGGTAGTACTCCGACCGCGTGCTCGCCATTTCGTACATGTCACCCTCCACCTTTCTCGCGTACGCTACTAAGTTGTGCATTCTCTTATCTAACATTGCATGAGGATCTGGCGTAGGAAAAATAGCTTGCACCCTGTGGACAGAACGGCACAGTTTAGTTTCTGGAATTACACAATCAAATAAACGAAAAATAAAAATATATTTAAAAGGAATAAACTTACAATTTATGAACAAGATGGTTTCTGAGATCGGCTGTTATAGACTGGTGCCATTCTTTCGTGCCAGACGCCGGGTTCGCAGTGACCGGCCCGCCGGGTAGTTGTAAGGTATTCGCAGTCATCTGCAAATAACACTTATTCGTATAGATTTTATGCTGGAGATGATGAGAACCGTTGAACGATAAGCCTGAAAAAGGAAAACTAACAAGACAGGCCTCACACTAAAACTAAACTACACCCAATAGTGTTTTAAGGCGCATTAGAACTGCTGTTTGGAGAAATAATTGGCGCTATCTAGACTGATGACTTTTCTAACTGCCGAATGCTGACTGAACACGAACACCTACAGCCTTGGCCAAAAGTATTGAGCACCCATGATATTTATTAATTTTGAAGGAATTATACATGTGTCTGAATCAAAACAGTTTTTAACAGTTTTATATTGTTTATTAACAACAAAAAATTAATACTTTGTTGGACCACCCTTTGCCTTAATTACTGCAGAAGTTATTTTTGGTAAAGATTGTACTAATTTATTACAATCGTCACATGTTAAAGCGTTCCACTCTTCCCGCAAGCGACGTTTTAGGTCTTCTTTTGTTTTTATTCAATGGCACCGGACCTTGTCCTTCAATAGACCCCACAAATGCTCGATGGGGTTCAGGTCTGGTGACTGGGCAGACCATTCAAGCAGCTCGATGTTATTGTCACTAAACCAAAGTAATAATACAATTATACTGCGCTTATCATAAGCCAATAACGCTTTCATGTTGAACTTTCCCAAATGACCAAGGGGTAAATGAAACAAGTATAACAAAATAATTGCTGAGATCGCTTGTTATTAAATCAAAAATTAATATATGGCACCCACTTTTAAATCTTAAATATACCAATCTAATAAAATAAAGACTCGGTCGTTCGTTTCAGCCGAAAGACGTCCACTGCTGGACAACGGCCTCCCCCAAGGATTTCCACAAAGACCGGTCCTGTGCCGCTCGCATACAGGCACCTGACGCGCCCTTCACCAGATCATCGGTCCACCTAGTTTGAGGCTTGCCCAAGCTGCGTCTTCCAGCTCATAGTCGCCACTCAAGAACTTTCCTGCCCCAGCGGCCATCAGACAACTTATAGTGTCTCCAACCTTCAGAAGAGTGGGTACAGCACGGCATTTGGTGATGTACTCGCTGATGATATTTATGCCCAATCCGCTCCAGTCCAGAAGCTTGAAAACATCTTTCAGAGTGGTAGTGAACAGTTTTAGAAATATGACATCTCCCTGTCTGACCCCTCGCTGCAACTGAACTCCTGATCCCGGAGACGGACTGACATTGTGGCCTATTCGTACAAGCCCTTCAACGATTATAAATATCTATAGTAAATTTGGCACCGTTGGAGAAACTGTACTGTAGTAGAGAAGTCTTTCTCATAGAGCACAAACTTGCTGATTATTCTCCTCAGTTTTCTGCCATTGATAAGTATGTGGTCTATCATACTAAAGCCTTATCGGAAACCGATTTGTTCGGGAGGCTAGATGTCGCGTGAAACCATTCATGATGACTCTCAAAAACAGAATCAGAAGTGAGATGGGTATAAAATAAATTCTTCAACAAGGTTTTGTTGCCTTTTTTGAAGAAGAGTATCACCACACTTCTGTGCCATACCCGTAGGCGTTTTTCCCTCAAGGATGACGGAATCGAATAGCTTCTAAAGAGCCTTTAGAACCGGCGTTCCGCCTGATTTCAGAAGCTCAGCCGTGATTCCATCATCGCCCGATGCCTTGTTGTTTTTCAGCTGTTTGAGAGCCATTCTAATCTCGAACAGACACGTCCGGGATATCTTCGGTATAGTCTCGGGTCAATCTAGCTCTTGGGTCTTCGGCTAGATTTGTCATTTGGACAGGTTTTCAACTTTTTCCAATAACGTAAGAGTCAGNTGAAAACTTGGAAATCAAGTGTTGGCTAATAAGGTATACTCTAGATTTTTAGGACTTGACTACGGCTGCTATGACACCTGCATGTGCTTGTAAACTGTTTACACTGGAATATACCGCTTGCCTAGCTCACATACATAACATACAGTGATGGTAAAAACCACAGATCACAGAAACTAAAGGAAGATGTGACAAGGGGGCGGGGCCGGTGTCGCAGCAATATGCCCAAAAACAGGACACATTGCTCGTGAAAGCAATGATCAAGCGACGTCATAATGTAAACAGCTTACATTGCTTGCTTAGTACCTACTAAAGATTATTCGAACGTTGAGTACCGATAGCGCAGTGGACAATGAGCACATATTTTGATTTCTTTGTGTGTGAATTTCTAATGCGACACTGAGTTTCGAACTCAGCGCGTTAGTGGGCATCTCTCTATATCTCTATGGTAAAAACCTTGCAACTCAATAAAAGTTTCTCTACAAATGGATTCCGCAGAATACCAGTCGCCGTGACAAGCTCTGTGCCGTCACTGCCTTTACTGAGAGGATCCCAAGTTGGTTCCAATATTATTATTTTTTTTTAAATTTTGTATATTGTTTTTTGTATGAGAATAAGTTTAATATTGTGTACTAAAGCCTGGTCCGTGAGCACGTAGAATCCCGTCCAATGACCCCAAGTTACCCATCCTTATCGCTCGCGCGTAATTATATTGCTGTCGCGACTGTGCGACGCGCACCCGCAGTGAGTGTGCAAGCGTGTGTATATTTAAAAAGTGCATGTAATTTGGAGCCAAATTTTTTTTTCTTTCTTTCAAAATGTATAAAACACTTACCAGCTGCTGCTGCTGCAGATCCTGCTGGGTCTGCTGGAACAGCTGCTGCATGGGCTGCTGCGGCACCACGTCGGTGAGCCCCGGCGGGCGCGGCACGGCCATGCGGGCCAGCGGCGCGCGCGGGAACCCGCCCGTCATGTTCGACACCGACGTCGGGCACGCGATGCCCAGCGCCTCGTACGCGCGCTTCATGTCCGCACCCTGCGAGGACAAATTTATTTTATATTGACGATCTGAGTGGTGTAGTGGTCAAAGTCAAAGTCAAAGTCAAAATTTCTTTATTTGTTTGGACTAATAAATAGTTCTTACAAATCGTCATTTTGCTCTTAAGGAGCCTCTACATGTCTCATAATCTTTTTACCCTACCAGCGCTTCGAGACCAACATTTGGCAAGTGCTGAGAAGAAGCGCCGCAACAAACTCAGTCACCACTGTCTGCCGGTTAATATAAACATACAACATGCCAGCATACCATACAAGAGGACCCGGGATCGATTTCCAGCCGGACAGAAATTGAAATACGTATGCCCGCTTTATGTCAACACCCTAGCTAGAGGGATATGATTGTTTTATTTCGAAACCTAGGGAATTTTTTTTGGAAAAGTTAAGTCGATTTGTGAGACGGGCGTAATAAATTAAGAGTATTTTGAGTATTTTTTAGTATTTTAATAATCTTTTTTGAATATTGTTATTTGTCAAATAAATGAAATAAAATTAGTTAAATTAATTAATTTTCCCTCTTAAAACGTTTTCCAGACTAAAAATTATGTTTCTGTTTTTTCGTTTCTGAAGATGTGATATTTAAAGTTCGTATTTGAGTATTGCACAGCTAATAAAAGTGATAAAAAAGTGACCACTGGCTTTACCAAACGACAGAGAAAGGTAGCAGAACTACTGACCTGTGTGTTAGGAGTAGGCGCAGGCGCGGAGGGCGCGGGCGCAACGCCGGGCAGCGAGTTGACGCCGGGCATGGCCCCAGCGGCGTTGCCCACGCCGCCCACGTTGCCCACCACGCCCACGTTGCCCACCACGCCCACGCCCACGCCGCCCACCGAGCCCACGCCGCCGGTGCTCACACCGGTCGTCGTGTGACTCACTGCCGCTGCTAGGATCGGAAAAAACATAGCTGTCAGAGGAATACATAATGCCAAATATTACTCCTAAAATGTTTTTCGGATTGTACGCTAGCGCTTTTCTGCTTACCGTTCATATTATTATTTCTAGTCCTGTCCGCCTGCTTCAGAGGCAAACACACAGGACAGTCATTTTTGTTACAATGCTTCCAATGGTTGATGATCTGTCTCGACGATGAGCAATGAGGCACCGCACAGTTCTTGCCGGCCTGGAACGAAAAGAAACGGTCAGAAGATTTCCGGACGCAAACGCGACAGAGAAGTCAGGAAACTAGGGAAACTCGCTGAAAATCAGCGTCGGGACTTTCACATAAGTCCCGAGTATCGCTGAGCGGGCGCCTTTTTGGCTCGAGATCTTTACTGGTCTGGCTGGATTATTTTACTGTTTTTTATTTTCTTTTTTTTTCTTCTTTATGTACCTTTTTACACTTGTAATTGTCATTTTTTGTCCCGTGCCAAATAAAGATTTATTATTATTAATATTATTAAAATGAAAAGCACCTGCGCGCGAAACGAACAGTACCTGACACGACATCATGTGGTTCAGCACGCCCTTCATAGTCTTACAATGCGGCAGCGAACACTGCCACGACTCGCCGTTCGACTGGGACTCCCGCCTCTGGCACTTGTGTGCGTGCAGCAGCAGCACCAGTTGCTGCTGTATCAGTTTCCTCTTCTCCGGGTCGGCGATGGAGCCGGAGGCGGGCGGCTGATGCGGCGCGTGCGGCTGGTGCGGCGGGTGCGGCTGGTGCGGCGCGGCGGCCTGCGTGTAGGGATATTCAGATACTAATAAATATGAGTAGGTACTCGATACTTTTGATTCGATACCAAGTATTTATGGTATCGAATCAATTTGCGATACATAATCGGTATCGAAACAAAAATACTTGGTATCGAATCAGCAAAACAACCGAAAACAATAAAAAAAACCGAGAACGCATCATACAGAACTGAGAGAGCAAAAACAGTGAGCTAATCAGCTTTAATCGGTTACCGAGTTACCGGTATTCGTCGCGTGGTAGCGTGAGTGACGCGTTGTCTCGCGCTGGGCCAGCCGAATTCGTCTGACTTCAGCCGAGCCCGAGCCGAAAGCGAGAGGAGACATTCGCACCCGCCCGCAAATCATCTCGCCATTCCGCCAATATTTAATTGTTGTTGCAACATCAGTTCCTAGCGAGTGCCTTTTTTCCAAAACCGGTGCAACAATGACACAAACAAGGAACAGATTGTCTTCAAAATACCTTGAACAGTTACTGTTTTTGGGCAATCTTAATGCTGAAGAGTTTTTTGTTTAAATTAATAATAAGCCTAATAAACATTTATAATAAATAAATAGTTGTTTTCTTCTCAATTTTGTTTAAATTAGTCCTTCAACGTTCATTGATAGCACCCTCAAAATAATAAAACAAAATAAAAGTTCCAAAAAGTATCGATATCAGTAACTATCGATACTTTAGGAGTACTTATTTAAGTGGTATCGAAAAAAGATTTGAGTATTATCGAAATGAGTAGGTATCGATGTCGGTGGTGTTGGTGACTTATGCTGGATTTCTAAATTCAATCCTAATCCAAATTATACGGATTTGGATTGTCAACTGTCAAGCCCCCGCCGGCCTCGCCCGGCGGCCCGAACCGCACGCCGGCCGCGCGCTGCGCCGGCGGCACGCCCGGGCCCTGCGCCGACTGCCCGTAGGCGGGGTGGTAGGGCGCCAGCGGGTGCCCGCCGCCGCCCGGCGCCTGCATACGCGGGTGGTGCTGCAGGCTCGTCCGCATCGGCGCCTGCATGCCGACGCCTACTCGCCCGCCCAGCGGACCGTTCTGCATTGTCTGCGAATCGTTGCGGACGCTTGATTCTTGTCTTCTTTTTTCAGATATGAGGTTTAAGGCGCACACAGAGGCGGGAGGCTACTTGTGTTCTAGTTTGTATAAAACCAATAACATAGAAATCGGACACCTCCCGGCGCGATACGCTTCTGTCGCGGGAGGGCGGGCAACCATGACTATAGCACGGGAATGACGCGGCGGGCTGCTGGCGGTAGATGACAGCGGACGCTCTACTGTATGGTAAAGCCTGATCCGTGAGCACGTAGAATCCCGCTCGCGCGTAATTACATTGCTGTCGCGACTGTGCGACTGTGTGAGTGTGCGAGCGCGACAGCAACATAATTACGTGCGAGCGACAAGGATGGGCAGCTTGGGGTCATTGGACGGGATTCTACGTGCTCACGGACCAGGCTTTAGTTAGTTGAAGCGTTCATATAATGAAGCGGTCGCGGAGCGATCCAGAAGCGGGAGAGCTAGTTGTATTTGTTGACATAGTGCTAGATTAGGATCGCTGTGAACGCTTTTGCAATCACATCGAGCGTCTCCTCGTCGCGGGCAGCGGGCCATAATGCTGTGTGTCAAGACCCGCTTCGCGCTATTTCGCTTTCCCACCCTTCTCACCTCTGTGTGCGCTGAAAATTATTCTAACTTTTTGGAAAAATCAAATTGTTTTTAAAAAAACATAAGAAATGGACTAGAAAATACTTATAAAGCAATTCTAAAAAAGAATTGAGTTTTTCATTAAAAAATTCTCTCCAATTTTTATGCCTTCACAGAAAACATAATCTAAATTGGTAAAACCATTTTTAGGAGATAAATTGAGAAAAATTCACAGAGAAACAAAATCCCCTCTCACCCAAAAACTAATGAAGTTATGTCATGAATGAAAAACTAATATTAGACTTACCTGAGCATGAGGATGGTGCTGAGTCCCATGATGATTATTTCCCATGAGCGTAGGGAGTTGTTTGTTAACATTATTAATTATGCCGCTGCCCAGCATACCGGCTCCAGTCATATTACTGTTTGTCACTATCATATTGCCAACGTTTGCCACGTTCATACCACCTGCAGGTTGATTTTAGTTATAATATTTTTCAAAAATTAGAAAACAAATTATACTAGTGTAGAAAATAACTTACACATACCTTGTATTGAACTCATTGGCATATTTGAATGCATTTGATTTGGATGACTTGTATTTGGCATTAGTTGTGGATGCATACCACCCATCAAATCCTTTGATACAGACACATTGGGAGGTGACTGTAAACTTGGACTCTTACTTCCTAAGCTACTCAACCCTAAAGGGTTGTTGTGGCCTACTAAGCCACCCTTGTTGCCCTGTGAAAAGGCCAACAAAAAAGAAATATACGATTAGTATGGATAGTTAACAAGATTTCAAATTATTTTTTTACTTTTCTGAAGCACAAGAAATAATTCTTAACTAGGAAATATTATGTATACGTAAAATAAAATACCATGTGTGGTATTTTAGACAATATGCTTCATACATTACATACAATCAATTTTACTGAGGAAAATTATATTTTGTTGTTTTTTTTTTTGCAGTTAAGTGAGCATAATTTTCATATTTGAAAATTATAAATAACTTGAAAAAATCGAATTGCCTAAGACGGGAATTGAACCCACGATAGTTCGATTTTTTCAAGTTATTTATAATTTTCAAATTAGTTTGGGATGCGACTTAATGCTAAAAAATTAAATAATTTTCATAGTTAGAATACTTTTTTGGCGACAGACAAGATACAGAACTTGACAGCAGCCCCAGGTACTCACTTGTTGTATAAGATGATTATTAATCTGTCTATGCATGGCAGCAGTGGGGTCGTCCCCATTGAGCTGCTGCACCATTTGCCCCCCGGGCCCGGGCCCCTGCGCAGGGGGCTTGGGCCCCGTGACGCCCGGCTGTTCGGCCCAAGAACCTCCCATTAATTCATCGGGGAGGTCCTTTTCGAGGTCGAACATGTCTTGTAGGTTTGAAAACCCATCTGAAAGAAACGTACGATTATAGCAAAAGACCATGTCAACTTTCAATATAATTAATTATTTTTATTTTTATCGATCAACATGGAAAGCATTGGGGGAGGCCTATGTTCAGCAGTGGACGTCCTATGGCTGAAATGATGATGATGATGATGATGATTTTTATTAGGATGAATGAAAATATTTTTCTCATTGACTTATTGACATATTATTTAAAAGCTTTGTAACTTCAAAGTAGTACTCTGGCTTTTTTCATTCATAAAAAGTAAATAAATAAAAATAAAGTAAATTAGATATTCTGTTGTTACCAAAGTTAAATTCTTTAGGATTGTAAATTCACAATGAATTCATATTTCTAGTAAAAAGCTAAAGTAACAATGAATTATAGTTTAGTACCAAATTTTGTTTTTCAGAAATAAACACAAAAACTGAAAAATAAAAAAAATTGCTGCATGCATTTTAATAAGCCATAGTTGGAATCAATTAAATATTGGTGGCAATGTATGTCTGTCTAGAGTCAAAATGATTTTTGGTTTGGTTCAAAGATTAAATATTTTTTGCAAAATTCAACAAGTTATAAATCACTTTTTATTCATATTTAAACTTATTTATCACCTCAAATTTCATTTTATGTGCCTAAAAACCATTAAACGAAAAATCTGCAAGTCTAAAGCAGATGTAAAATAACCAAATTTACAATTATTTTTACAGATTAAAATACATTTTACAATATACACACTTTTCTTTTAATCAAATAAATCTCCAAGAGACGATTTCCGAAGTTTTATTGTCAAAATATAATATTTATAAGTGAAAACATTCAAGTAAAGTTTTGAGGTTGTGTTTACACATGCATAATTATATTACATAGCAAACATAGTCCTTGTTCAGCAAATAATGAAATATAAATAAATCTTATACTATACATTTAATTAAATGAACATTTATAAATCATTGTGAAACACAAATCTAAACAAAGCATAAAGAATTAAATAACTTTTTTAACAATAGGTAAGAAATTTTACGTCTAAGTAAAAATACCACTAAACACATAAATTTCTTAAATTATACTGTAGATTTATCAATAAATAAATCCCTTTCACAGTAATGTAGGTCAAACTTTGTGATTAATTTTGAGCTTGATTATCATGAAAAATATTACATTACTATTTCATATTCAGTTGAAATTCAGACCCAAAATTAAATGACACACATACAATAAAATTTCATTCACAATTTTATAAAAAGTTCAATTACATGAAGCAGTGAACAAAATTTTTAGAAATTCTACATAGACCCTTGAAATCCTTCAAAAAGGGGAATGTTTATAAACAAAATTTTATTTTTAGTAGGTCAAAAATATAGGTTTTGCATTGACTGTAAATGAGGACTCAAGTCATATAAGATTTGAACTGACTTTTCTTCGGTTTTGTCACTGTAGCCAAAGTTCTTAGCACAAGAAATAAATAAGAAATATAATTCAGATACCAATTAAATGCATAATTTCTTTATCCTGCGAGCGTAGTATTGAAAATACGACGCAAATCTTGCAAGGCGCTAACAAGAACCAAGGCAAGATGTCAAAAATCAAAGAAAGATAATAATGACAGACTTGCGGCCTAACACTTGCCAAAGCGGTAGAAAATAATAAATAACTTACCCGTGGAGTCCGATGGACCCTGGAAGATTTTTGGCCGCTTATTAGGCGGCTCATCCCCGTGATGATCGGCCATGGCTCTGTTTACTAAACGTATGCCGTCGTGAATATTTCGGCCCGCCGATTCAAATAACACTTTTATGTCTTAAATCTTTAAGAAATAGCATTTTAGAGCGATTTGTCATCCATCATAGTGTAATTCACCCACATCACGATCGTTCGATGTCCTTCGCACCATTGAAGGCACATATTAAAATTTCTCACTCAAGTATTCGCCATTACAAAGCTCCGAATCGAAGAGCTACACAGACCCTCTCACCATCTTCCGTCGGAACTAGCACAATAAATGAAAACAATATCACCAGATTTTAGCTACTTTATATGACTTATTTTATAGATCGAATAACACAATTTCACTTAACACTTTAAAATACACGGAATGGTACAGTTTATGATAAATGATGTAAGAAAAAACAGAAAATTTACACGACAAATTCCGAAATTCTTCTCAGTCTCTCCAGCGCAAAATGGCGGCTGTTGATGAAAACTTTTTCTACGCTTGTCAGAAAATGTCGGCCTATAAAGAAACTACGCGTTGTGATTGGTCCGCGCATACCACGTGACTGCCGGAAGTGCCGTTTTGACGCAGGATCGGTCCGATTATTTTGACGTCAACGCGTTCAAACCCGACAATAGCCGAAGTTAACCGAATGAAAAAATGCCCATGTATTCATTAATTTCAGGCCAAAGTGACTGCTAAAATCATTAAATGTGTGTGAAAAATCTTCTACAAAATATAACACATTTATTAGAAAAGTAAAAATAAGTTTTGAGGAATCATTATGGCTAAAAACATCAATAATTTTTAGTACTTTTAAAATTTCCCTCCAAATCGGGAGTGGCCATCATCAATACGTGTCTCTAGATGTGTCTATGGTATTTAACCGTAGACAAAAACGTGTTATTTTACTGAAATTGCGTTTTGTTCGTTCAGTGGATATATTGTTGTATTAAGTTGAATCGTTTAGTTCTTGATTATTTCCAAAAAGTTTTCTAGCTAAATAAATTTATTTCTGTAAATTAAATTGTTGTTTATAGCCTGACCAGGAACATAAAAACCCTCGCCATGTTGCGGAAAACTAATGGTACTAATTTCTTTTAATGGCAACAGTAACTGAAAACTTCATTGACATGTCACCTTGCATGTCAGTCTATTGCTGTCAAAGTGTAAACAAAGTTTATTTTAAATGTGCGCAATTGGTTTTATGAATTAAATTGCTAAAATATTTTTATAGTCGTGAAAGAAAAGTGGTTCACAATGTGTTAAAGTATTTGTCGAAGAGAAATACTAAGGGTTTGGACAATATTTTCATTGAATAATGTTTCCGACAAAGGTTGTCAAATTGACTGACGTGTTTATCGTATAGTACAGTCCACTATGAAAATTAGCTGTGGTTTGTTTCAACTACCTATTTTAAAATTTTTTGTCACTTTCTAAGTGTTGAATTTTATGGGATTGGGAAAGAAGTGGAAAGAAGTACCGAGTTTGAAGCGATCATGAGCAGACATTGCAGTTGAATATTCAAGTTCTGAATTTGATTATTGATGAATAATAAAATAAATTCTACTAGCTCGATTGATGGTTTCATTTAATTTATTTAAATCAGGTTACCTATAATAATATTTTTTCGTAAATTTATGAAAATATCAAATTAGCCCGTAATCCTGAATCCTGATACATAAAGTTAGCCTATTAATTTAACACAGGTACGACTGTACTCAGTGTTGCACTATCAAATGCAATTGACGCGCCACTATGCCAGGGTTTTTATGTTCCTGGTCAGGCTATACTTGAAATATTTATTTTTTATCTTTATTTTCATCAAACAAATATTTTAAAGCTTTTTACATATTATTTTGTTTTGCTATATTGTGTATAAAGCCAAACGCCCTTTAATTACAGTTGACCATTAATTATTTTAGTATTTTCGTTAAATAATAATTGTATAGTTAAATTCTCATTACATTTTTATAAATCGTTAGACATTAATATTTAACGATTTTTTTTATGGAACTCAGGAGTATCAGGAAAGGCTGAATGGATTTTGATAGCAACTAAATCAACTTTTAGTTCTTATTCAAAATTTTATAATAGTCGTATTACAAGCTAATTAACATTATTAATTAGGTATTCTCTATTGTTTCTGAGACAAAAATATTCCAATATAAGTTTTGATGAAATCCATACAAAACCTATGTTTTAGAGTTTTATGAGTCGCAGGTGGTAGCAAAGGATTATCTGAATGAAAGTTTTAAATATTCACTAACATTTATTACTTAATTCTATTTACATTTCATATAAAGGTCTGACACCCAAGACTTCAAGTCCAGTTTTTACTACTAATCGACATGAATGATAGACCAGCAAACGTTGCGATGCAACTTCAGAGTCAACATTTTTTACTCTCAACTCGTTGAACATTCTGTTCACATGCCTTGCAAGACGAAATAGATAATTTACTATGATACATGCTTCATTTTCTAAGTATGACCTGATCATTACATCATCGAATTTAGCTAATTCTGCTACTACATCCCCTACCACTTCTTCAGTGAGATATTTAGGTTCACAAGTTTCAGGTAGAGTCACTCCACAATTCTTTTCTAAGCTCCACAATCTGCAGTGCAAATACTGTATCTTAATCCCGCTGTCTCCTTCACTCTGTAATGCTCTGTCCCAGTCAAATTTGTAATCCTTTTGTCTTCTTTGTTTCAAGTCATTTATTATCACAGCTGTGGTCCCCAGGATGTCACAGGTTTCTTCATTTAAAGCTGAACTGCGTGTATCTGTAATGTCATAAAAATATTATTACACTCTTCATTTTACAAAGAAAAATGCTACAAAGTAAATAGTTTAGTAAAACAAATAATTTCAAATAATAAGAAATTACTTTTAGATTGTTGTTGCTTCTCAAACATTTTTTTCTTTGCTTCATCTAATATATCATTTAAAAATACAACATTCCCTGTTCGTGTGCTCATTCCTTTAATCCTACCGAACTTAATGTGTTCACAACCATTCACACAAGCCTCATTGATTTTCTTGACTATCTCAAAAACTGCTGCAAAATGATCTGTTTGTGCATTGTCCACCACATATAACATCTTGTCAAATTTATACCTTTGGTATCTGTCTAGAAGGGCAGCGACATCTCGAGATAGATAAAGGGTGGTATTGTCACTTTTCATTACAGTAACATCCTTATCTTTTACTGTAGCAACTTTCTTTCCTGTAGCATCAGTTCTAATAACATCTAAGTTCTCAAGTGATTCCATCAACTTCTGTATAGCTTTGCCATTGTAGTCAGACTCCCAATGATAATCATCAAACTGTATGCCTAATCTTTGATACACTTTCTCCAATTCTCGAATAGTGACTTCCCGAATCTTTTTCCAGTCTTCTAAATTCATTTTCCCCTGTTCTATGTCACAAAAATATTTTCTAGCTTGTTTTCTTACATTCTCATCAGTTGATGATAGTTTATTAGCATACACATAAACTTGATATAGATGTTTTATTGGATCATTTTTGAGTGTTTCCAAATCAATATTCTTTGACTGTAGACCATATTGAAGAATACCAAATTGGGTGCCCCAGTCACCTAGATAGTTGATTTTTGTAACCGTGTTATTGAAATACTTGTTGATGTTTGCAATAAAATTGCCAATAATAGTAGACCTCAAGTGACCAGCATGGAAAGGTTTTGCTATATTTGGTGAGCTAAAATCTATGACTACTTGCTTTGGTTTCGTTTGTAGTTGAGTTGCTTCTGAAGAATTACTTAATATGCTTTTCATAAACGGTTCTCTATCCACACCAAGTTCGAAATCTTCCTGTGAGTTTGTTGAAAGATTTGTGTCAGTGCCATGCCTGTTTGAGACTTGTACGAAAAATTTGTTTTCATTATGTTTGTAAGAAACATAAATATTGTTAGAATAACTGTCGATAAATGAGCTCTTATTCTTGAGATACGGATAAGCCTGGAAAAATAAAATAAAAACATTTAAAAAGACTATCAACACCAAGGTTTTAAATTGTATTTAATATTTCAGAAGCAAACCTTATCCTTTATCAGCATTTTTAATTTGGTGCCCATCTTCAGCTCAAAATAAAAACAAAGATTTGCAGAGATATTTAGTAATTTCAAAGTTTTTTAAAGGATTGAAGAAAATAAAAGTTTGTTTTTATGTCAGATTGTCAGCTGCATGGTCAGCTGTCATGAATGTCAAGAAGATAGATTATCAATTGATTATTCAAATAGCTAATTGAACTTTAATGATTCCAAGTACGATTATTTTATTGGTGTTCCTATGGAAAATAAAAACTCGACTTGGTGGGGGCACTGCCGTGCCCCCAGAGAATGTTTAGTGAAATAAAAATTAAAAATTTGTAATAAAAATAATAAATCTAAAGACTGGACTGTATAAATAATGCAATAACACTAAACTCATCATGACTCTTGTACTGATAATTTATGTAGGTAATCAACTCTTGAAAAAAAAAAAAATTAAAATGAAAAATTTTGTTCAGCGACACAAAACAACATCTAAAATATGAAAACAAAATCTATATATATAAAAATGAAACCCGTTTCGCGTTGTCACGGCATCACGTGTGAACGGCTGAACCGATTTCGATAATTCTTTTTTTTAAATGTTTGTGGAAGTCCAAGGATGGTTCTTACGGAAAAAAATATTAAGAAAATCTCTACGCTAAGGCGGTACGAAGTTCGCCGGGTCAGCTAGTTAAAAATAAATAGAGTAGGTATTAGTTGGAAATGTGCGTGTCACCGAAACGGTATCCACTCAGCATTATGCCGAGGTGTCGTACACAGATGAGAGAGAGTATGGTCGCACTAGCGGCGTAGTCCGCTCTGGCTCTGGGTGCCAAGCATGAGGGGGTGACAACAGTCACGCAAATTAGTAATTTGCATTCATCATTCGTACTTCTTTCATCTTCGAATCGGTACCACTAAAATCCTGGGGGGCGCACACCAGATCATGTCGTGCCTTAGCCCCCCGCTAAAAATGTATGCTGGACTGGACTTATGACGGGGGGGGGCACCGCCCCGGGTGCCAACCCATGCTACGCCGCCACTGTATGATCGTAAAGGACACTACGACGAATTAATTACCTAGTAAAATGATATTGAATGATCAATTAACTCATGTATGAAGTAATTGAATAATACATAATTATTCAATGTCACATCACTTTTTAAGGGTAACACAATAACTGTCATGTTGACATCTGCGACTGACAATTTTTATAGTGATGTTCACTACAGCAGAATCTATCGATACTACTGCCAATACTGCCATCTGCATCTAGAGATGGGTTTCCACCCGGGTAAAAACCCACATGAGGGTAAAAACCCAATAAAAACCCGTTTCATTCCACCCGTGGGTGTTTACACCGGGTGAAAACAAATAATTTTATAATTATTTCAATTGGTATCTTTTCTTTATTTTTATTGAATTTTTCTCATTTAAGTTTATTGATTAATAAGTATTAAGTCAAATTTAACACTAAT